TTTCCTCGTGTTTTCTTGTACTTGTGTATTTTGTTATATATATATATATATATATATATATATATATATGTAATTAAGTTAAATCTGTTTCAGCTTCTTTGAATACCTGCACGCTCTTCGATCTCTGTCATTATCAGGAAATGAAATCGAATCCATTTCTAGTCAAATAACCAAAATACCGAACTTGGAAAAGCTTTATCTACACTCAAATCTACTGACCTCAGTGCAAAAATTGACTGAATTCAGCAATCTACAGGTGAGTTAGGGAGAATTAGTAATTCAAAGTTGTAAGAGTAAAACATATATCACGTTAAAAAAATCGCGAATTTATTTAAAAAAAAAAAAACGTTTTACTGCAATTTTTTCATTATTTAAAGTTTTATTAGTTTACATCTGCTTTTCTTGCAACAACGAACAACAATAATTTTGTTTTTGAAACCAGAAAAAAATACGATTATGTGGAATCCTTGACGAAAATGTAATTAAAAAAAACAATAAGGCAAATTAATAGGTTGCAGGTAGCAAATTAATGTGTAAAAAAGGGAAATATGTTGCAAGGCAGGTTGCAAATTAATATGTCAAAAAGAAAAAAAATTAATCAAAATATGACGAATCATAATTGAAGAAGGTGAGTTAAAACATCGAAATCTGATTGATTACTTGTTGAAATTTGATGGTGTATTTCATAGCAGCCTTCTCTCACTTTGCTTCGTCAAAAAAGCAGATTTTTATGCTTTTAATCTTGTCTTCCTTGTTGATTATTCGTCAGGTTTTGGTAATGTTTCCTTTTTTACTTTTATAAATATTAATTTGTTTTCAGAATACTAATCTGTTACTCATTTCTGAAAATGATTCTAAGAAATGTATCGCTTGATTTAAGTGGGGATCATCCTGCTTGCATACTATTTTTAAAAATATATACGTATATTAAAAAAATATCTATGCTGAAAAGTGTATGTATTGAAAAATATATGTATTAAAAAATATGTACATTAAAAATATATATAGATATTAAAATGTATATATTAAAATAACTAACATTTTATGACGCTGCATCCGAACCTTAAAGCTATATATTAAAATTATTCTGAATGAAATAAGATATAATATGAAATGTTTAATTAATGTTTTCACAATTACTCACCATTTGTGAATCTCAAACCAGAGGCAAAATTTCAACTTTAAATAAATAAAAAAAACGTTAGTTCTGATTCATTATTTTTTACAACGCTTTACAACTAAATTAATAATTAAGTATTATGATTTTTACCTTTTCTATTTAGTTCAGACTTAGAGAAAGAACTGAGAAAAACTATAAAACTGCTTTCTGAAAAAACCTAAAAAACAATGTTTTCTAAGTCAACACCACTTACAGCCAACAATATGGTTCAGTCTGAAACTCGATGCCTACACAAATATTGAAGTTGGAATTGTATGACATACAGAAGTAAATATTGTTTCTTTAGTTGAGTCAGAAGCTACATCTGTAGATAAACTTAGTAACTAATTTAAAATTTGGGGAGAATAAGTACTGTTTGGTTTCTTAAGCAATACGCATCAAACATAAAAATTCTATGTTCTTCCATTTTTCTTAAGTTTATTTCTTAAATCACAGGTAATTTTCAGTTATTTTTTTAAAGCATTTATGCATCTAAACTTTTTTGCAGGTTCTTGATTTAGCTTGTAATCAAGTTCAGCAGTTGGAGCTGGCCACTATTGTGCCTAAAAATCTTACTTACCTTGATCTCTCTGCTAACTGCAATTTACAAATAGATCCCTCAGATTTCCAACACTTATGGTAATTTGAATTTCTTTTCTTTTTTTAAAGTTTAATACTGGAGTATAAAAAGACACCTATCTAATATAGTCATACTTCTATCAAGTTGGTTGAATTGTAGTTTATATTTGATGATAGGCGATTTTGTGAACTGAATATTTTAAATGATAATGTAAACTAATTTTTTTAAGCGATACTTTGAACTGAGTACATATTAAAGTCAAGTTTAGGTTTTTTTCTTTAATTTTTTTATTAAGTAATCTGAATTATATATTTTCAAATAATCGAAGTAAAACTCTACTTTATAATGCCTTTATGGATCAGTTCCTTATAAATCTACGCAGCATTTCTTTGCGATGCTTTAAATGCCCTTTCTTCATACACATTTATCTTTTTCGAATTGACGAACATTGTTTTTAAGTATAAATTAAAACAGATTAACCTTTTATTACATAAAAAAAAATATTTGCTGCTATTAAACTAAAATTATAAAACATAAACTAGAACTATAAAACTTTGAATTCGGATCATGAAACAGGATTTTGATTTTCCATTTTTCCATTAAAAAAAGTTCAAAAAAATACATGAAAGATGGTAAATTTAAACTTATAGAATGGAATGAATAATTCGCCGATTGCAATTGTCCGTGAGAAAAGGTTGAGTGCTCAGACAGTGTTACGTTGAAAGAAAAACTAACCCAAGTTTAATTCCAATTCTTTATTTACAAAATCATGATACTAAATTTGAAGTTTATACATTTACTAATTCCACTTTTTGCCTGAATCCTTGAGCAACTGCAGCAGGGGGAGGAGCTTGGACAACATATACTGCATCTCCAACTTGTTGGCTTGCAGTTCCAGGTTCATTGCTTTTAACTACAGCCTTATATCCATCCGGTCCAGCTGTGTACTCGACAGTCCTGTAAACACCCAATGGATCCAAGTAGCCATACTGGCCTCTCACCACACCATTGGCGTCAGATGTCTCTTGGCGATGTTGAGACATGCCTAGTCCGTCACCAAAATCATATCCAAACTCATACGGGCGTGGTATTTCTAATTGCTGAAGCACGGGTTGCGCCAAAGAATTGGCTCGTAGCAGAACTGGTCCCGCTATGGAAATGCTGATCGCTGACAAGAACACAAATAATGTTGAAAAGAAAAGCATTTCGATTACTAGATCGTTTTTGAATTATTTTTCTGGAGTAAGATGAGGATAATGAGTTGATTTCGAATGAATCGGTCGTCTTATATACGAAAAGAAAAGAATTTAAGCATTTTAGAATATGTCGCGTGCTAAAAACTTACTATCTAAAATATGACATTCTAGTGCAATAATGCGTAAACTCACGACTTATGTGAATATCTCCCGTCACGTGCATCCGGGCATTTGTCGTTCATAATTCGAGTGTATTTCAACAATTCTTCAAAGAATGAGTTAAGGAAATAAAATATTTGATAAACAGGATTTCTTTAAATGGATAGCATATTACGAAGTAGAGCAAAAAGTATTCTCTTAAATCATACACAACAGAAAAGTTTTTATTACACTTTTTTTTTTATTAAGATGGTTGATTCCTAACATAAAAACTAATAACGCAAAATAATTTGTTATCCAAACAAATGCCTTCGTTTATCACAATTTGTTTTCAGCTATGAAATTTTTAATGTTCAATGTTCGAAAATGTTTAGAAACTGAGCTTTTTTCTCAAATAAATTAGGTGATTAGGCTAAAAAGAATTGGAAAAAAGAAACATATTCGGGGATTTTTTTAAAAATTAGAAATCGGAATAAGTCAAAATTCTGAAGACTTTAATAATCATTTCAGCAAAAATGATGATTAAAAAAAAAAAAAAAAAAAAAAAAAAAAAAAAAAAAAAAAAAAACAGTTGGACATTTTTTTTTTATGATGGAAGTTTTTCGTTTTGAAAAGTACAGTGCTGGAAAAAAGTATAAAGCGGAGCAAAGAATCGCCAAATATGAAACTTCCCTGTTATAGCTGAATAATGCAAATTTATTTTCTTTTTGCAAATGTAGAGCCTAATTGCTTGACTTGCCAATTTTATTTATATTCCGTACATTATTAAATATTCCATACATTATTAAAATCATGGCAAAATTTATATAATCTTTGAAAAACAACTTGGAAAAAATATAAAGTTGATACTAATCACGTCATTTTTAGTTTATTTTATAACCGTCGTTGAACAGCTGACCCAATTCAGGGTTTACGACTACCAATGTTCAACTCCGTATCCTTGTAATTTTGATCCCAATCCAGAAGACAAGAGAGCTCCCGGATTAGTACCCCAGAGGTATTGATTTGTTGTAGGAACCTGGAGGACTTTGCGACAACGATTTAACGTGCACCAGTCACCGTTTAGTACACGGAGATTCTTCGGCCGGCTGGATTCGAATTCCCGTTCTTACAAACACGAGTCCAATGCCCTACCAACCAGGATATCCCATTGTCAGGTCTAAAGCATACGAGAAAGCGGTTTGCTCCAGTACACGAAGAAATTCCGATGATCGGATAGTCATGTACTAGGGACTCAATCCTAATGATTCGAGGAGGTGACCTCAAATATGCTAATTAATTAATGCAGGTAATATTTTAAATTACGAAATCAGACACGAAAACGTACTTTCTCTGAATAAAGATTCCTTAAATACGACGAATTTGGATTTCAGACCATCAAAATATATTGGATAGTCGCAATCTAGTAAATATTGTTCCAATAGCTTAGTCAGGACTGCTTTTGGATCACTTAATGTAACTTTTCGTGTCTTTCGCCATATCTCGAGAATTGTTTTCAGCGAATTTAAAAATTTTCGCTTGCAGCTATAAAATTCTCGGTCATCCAAAGATAATTCCACGCAAAAAGTAATTTGTAATAACTGTTTATTATTTTGTAAGTAAAAAGTGTAAGTTATTTTATAAGTAATCCAAAAAATTTAAATTGTATGGCATAAACATTTTTAATTCAAAATTCCTTTATCCAAAAATAATTCCATGCAAAATTCCTGAGAAATCAAATTTTAAAAATGCGACTTTTTTTTTAAAATTCAGGTACTTAGGAACCTTTTGCTGACTTCACTCAAATTTTGTGTTTTGCCATGTAATGTTAAATTCTTTGAAATGACGTCAATAATTGTATACCTCACAATTCAAAAATTTTTCCAACTAGTATTAAATAAAATAGTAATAAATAACAAATATTTTCTAAAGGTTATTATTATTATTATTTATTATTATTTTCTTGCAGAGCATTATCTTTGAATGCTCAAATTTTATAATTGTGCGCAAAAAATATTTCAGTTCTCTTAAAAAGTTCTCAAGAACTTTTTACTAAAAGTACGGAAAATTAAAATTAACATTAAGGGGTCCAAACTTTTTATCGCTCGCCTGTCGAATCTATTGGGACTACTGATTGCGGCTACCCCCTATATTTCGGAGGTCAGAAATTCGAATCCGTGGAAAAAAACGTATAATAATTCAGAGAAAGTACATTGCTGTGGCTGATTTCGTAACATAACATATCGCCTGCATTAATTAATTAGCATATTTGAGGTCACCCCCAAACCATTACGATTGAATCCTAGAACGGGAAGATCCGATCATTATATCAAAAGTTATTTAGGGTGGTCCGTCTATATTTTTGCACATTGTACATAACATGAGCTTATTTGATTGAATAATTGACTTGTCATTTTTGATACATGTAGTTGCCAAAGGTCTGTGGCCGTTGTAGATGTGAATTGTGCCGGCCGACAAGCGCCACTCAAAGACAATATTTCCAAAGAAATGGAATCCAGTAGTCCATGGACTTTGGGATTTACGGAATCACACGATGGCAATACGCGGTAAATGTTATTATTTTATCAAAAATATATACATTGCTATTCGAAAAATACTGTTTAATAAATCATATTTTGTTTCATCTCGATAGAATATACATAGAATTTCAAAAAGATTCCTCAAATGTACGCCAGGAGGCTCTCATTGCACTGATGGAAGTGGACGACTTGAATGAAGTGGGACAATTGCGCAACGTTCTGCCAGAGCTACTCAGATCTGAACGAGAAGCAAAGGAAACATACCCACAGTTTATAAAAAATTCCCTCATGTCATGCGTCAGGTAATATTTTTCTCCTTCTTTTTTTTAAAAAAAGGTTTTATTTTTAAGCTTTATTATTTTTTGTATCTTTCATTAGGGATAGATTTTCCGTTATCAGGGATGGTTCCCTGGTAACAAAATTACTGCCAGAGAGATTGATTTTTGTAATCAGATCTGATTTGAATTCCAGGAATGGATTCTCCTTTATTATTAAATTTGAAGCTCGATATAACGACCCTCGTGATCGAAAAAAAACGGACGTTATATTGGGAGGTCATTATATCTTGAGTGCACAAAAATAACGTAAATATTGACCCATGTCTAAAAAAATATTTTACAAATTTTTAACAAAACAATGCTTCATCTTAACAAGAATTTCGTAACTAACAGAAATATTGATGACATTTTGTTTCTCTACTAACATATTCGTTTAAGTACCCTTTAAAATGATGTTTCATGGGTAAAAAGTGAACTAAATATTATATGCTAGTTAGTGGATACCAATTTTACTAAATAATACACTTAATGATAACTGCAAAGACCATGTTTTAATTCGAAAATAAACCACAAAAGATGAAAAAGAGGGAATAAAATTTCCAAACAGGAAAAGTATGATTGAGGAACTTATCATAATCTTTGAAAAGAATGTGTGGCGTTTCTATCATTACATGTATTCAATTCTAATTCACTAGTATATATCTAATTCACTAGTATATATCTAATTTACTAGTATAGATCTAATTCACTAGTATAGATCTAATTCACTAGTACAGATCTAATTCACTAGTATAGATCTAATTCACTAGTATAGATCTAATTCACTAGTAAGACATGTTAACTCGATTCTATGCTGAAGTACCTTTAGATAGATTGTCATAGTCGGTAACATTCTCCCGTCATTGATGAATTGCGGACGTAATCAGAACACGCCTACCCCGACACACTCATTTTGATTTGAACACGCCTACTTTGATAGATGGTCCGTATTGAGCAATTAACTTGATAATTGTGACTAAGACATCACGCTGTTGCTACTCAGTCTCGATCACACACAACGTCAGTCTGCATACACTCGACTGCTAATGGCAACACAGGAGCGACCACGACTGTGAACTCAATACAGCTCTCCCGATCAGCACTCAAGGTCCGGTGATATTAAGACAGCTCTCCCGGCTTCTCAAAAAACAGCAATGTATCAACTAGTGGTATTCATTCATCGAATTCGATCACCGATAAAATTCTAGTGGGGGAGTACTGTAACGTGTCTATCAACACAATTATTCAATTTTAATTCACTAGTATATTAAACACGTTAACTCAATTCTATGTTGGAGTACCTTTTCATAAATTAAAGTTGACATTGTCAATAACACTTCTACACAAATGTTAAACAGGTTATGAATAACCATAAATTACGACCACCTAGGACTTAAGAAAAAAATTCGGGTGGTCATGCAGCTCTTCCTTTATTCGACAGCGGTTAAAGATGTTTTACATTTATTGTGTCGAAACATTTAAATAAATGATGACTTAAAAAATTTCTTTAAAACTTATTCTAAATCAAAAGAATAAATTTTGGTTGCTATATTGGAATGAACAGTTCAGTGCTAGTGCAGAACTTTCAATGGACGTTAAATTAACATTGCGTTTAAGGAACAGCAAATGAGGCTTTATGCATCTGCTGTTATAATGGAATGATCACTTTAATAGGATCTTACTAAAGAACGTTAGACTATATAATCCAAAGTGATTCTCTTTATAGAAAAGAGTAGCTGAAAGATCCTTGGTCTTTTTTTTTTTTTNAAAAAATTTTTTTTTTTTTTTTTTTTTTTTTTTTTGGAAGGGAGGGGGAGATTATATACCGTTAATAAAGCTTTAATAGCTGGGATGAACCCTTTCTTGTTAGGGATGAAGGGATTTTAAACGTCTTAGAATTGAAAAATACTTAACTGGTAACTAACATCCATGCTTCATAGCAAACAATTAAAGCACAAACTTGTACTAAAATATTTTGAAATAATTGTGTTTTTAGATCCGACATAAAACTGGAAATGTCTGCAGTATAAAATTTCAAGAGCTATGCACTCTTGATTTATAATAAAAATAATAAAAGGGATTATCGTAAATATTTATGTTACACTAAAATTTATTCTAATATTGGGCCTTAAAATTATTGATAAGCAAAAAAAATGCCAGAGTATATATACAAGTGTCAGAGTATATAAGTATCAGTAAAAAATATTGAATGAAACTTTTTATTAAATATTTTTTATTGTGATACTATCTGAACTTTTAACAACCTTAAATTCAATTAACAAAATTTATCTGATTAAGGTTTTGTTTCAATTAATAATTTTCAAGACAATAAAAAGTTAGATCTTCTGAGCTTTTGCTGCATTTTTTCCTACTGACAACAAACAATTAAAATTGGTACTTTTAGGTACTTGCGAAGCAGAGGGTATGAAAAAGACTTCGGTATAACAATGTGTCACCTCTCTTCATCTCATGGTAGCCCAGTCACCCTCAGGCTGGGTACCGTTGGCAGACCATCCTCTTGCATCTTGGGAAGATCTGGAAATATCATTGTTCTAGCACAGAGGCAAGATACTGCTCCTTTCGAAATTGAAGAATGGGTGTCTGCTATACAAGTATATATCTTTTTAATATTTTTATACATCTTTGTTAACGGGATAGGAAGAAAGGATATTGACGTTATCAAACAATATTTAGTTTTCATTACCCACACGGTCATAAATATTTTATTTAGTTCGTTAAATATCTTCCTACATAGTGATTTTTTTTTATGTAATGTCATTGAATATTTTTCATTTCTATGACAACCGGTCTTTTTTAATTAATTTACAGAATGACATTTTATTCCGTGATATAGTGAACGAGTCAATGATTGGAGAAAAAAAACATGGGGAAAAGGAGGCAAATCACTGATAAAAGCAAAATGTCTAATTTTAAAAAACGATTGACGGAACACTTATTGTAAGATCTCTCTAAAACATGTTTATAACTTTATACCTTCTGACAAATCTAGAAACATTTTATTATTGAACTTTGTACCTAAACAAAGGTCATCTCCAGGATATAGCATATTTTCGAACTAAATTGAGATTTCACGCACAAAATATACTATAACTAGTATGAAAACGTGAATTTTTTTTAGATTATAACTATGCATCTACGTCAGCTAAATTTAAAAATGCAAAAAAACTCAATTCTGAAAGAATGTGGAGATAAGTAGGTTTTCGGACACATAGAAACATTTTATTATTGAACTTGGTACTTAAGCAACGGTCATCTCCTGGATATGGCATATTTTCAAACTAAATTGAGATTTCACGCACAAAATATACTATAACTAGTATAAGGACGCGAATTTTTTTTAATATCGTTTATCATATCTATGTATCTGCGTCAGCTAAACTTAAAAATGCAAAAAACCTCTAATTCGAAAGAATGTGGAGATTAATAGGTTTTCGGACGCATCGATTCAATTGTAATAACAATAAATACCTCAATTTAAATGTGCATTATTTTCACTTTTTAAATGGCAAAGTAAAAAAAGTTTTTCATTTTAGGGCACAGAAATATGTTACAACAACCACCTAAGTAGTCATCAAAGTAAAGTGATACCAAAAGAAATCTGGTCTTCAATTCCCGAACCAGAAGTCCGAGAATTGGTTCTCAGTTCTCAGGATAAGTTCCTCGTATTTGGAGACAGTGGATTTTCCCAAACACTTCCAGCAGAAGAAGTGTGCAAGCAGGTGCAGAGCACTACCTCCCCAGTCGGTGCCAGTAAGGCTTTGTCAGAAATGTACTCAGCATTAACTAATGGTCGGAGAGAATGCATATCAGTTATATTACTTAAATCAGATTCTTCTGTACCAGTTGAAGAAGAAGTGGAGAAGTACAGGTGTTGGGAATTCATGTTGGAACAGAATCACAAGTTGTTGTTTACCAAGGAGCTAGAAACTCTTAACAAAACAGCGTTGCAAAACGAACAAAATTCTACTAATGCAGATCCATCTTCCTGGTATACAAGTGCATTATCCAAATATAAGTGCCCATTGCCGTCTCATAGAGGGCGCTACTATTGTTATGGCAATAAACTGGAGTGAGTTTAAGTAGATTTTGTGCTTTTCTTCGTGCGGACGGTTGCTAATCTTTTATTACCCCATCACTAACTGAGTAACATCACTAACTGAGTAACTGAGACTAAGTTCTTTCTCCATTTCAATAGGTAACTGAAGCCATTATATCTTAGAAAACTTTTGTATTCCTGCAAACATAGAGTATAACTATTTAACAATGAGTAATTAATCTCTTAGTGCTCTTGAATTGGAAGTTGTCTTAAATTGAAAAATGGCTCTAGTAATCCTGAATGACGTCAGTTGCTTGTTGGTTGAAGCTGGAGCAACAGAGATCTCCCTTCAAAAGGATGTAAGGGAGAGAATGGAGAGGAGTGCAAAATCTATCTAACATTCAATAATTCGTTGCTTATTATATATGTAAATAAAATTAATGATATTTCTGTTGTGTGACTCGTTGATGTAGAAAGAAGGAAGCTCAAAATCATTTTTGGCACAGCATGTTGTTATTTTTAAACTGTTTAAAAAAAATTCTGTAAGTCTGTAATTTTTTTGTATAGTTATATCGAAAATAAAATACTTTGTATTATAAATTTTTATAAACCATAATTTAATCCACATTTACTTTAATTTGTTGTTCTATTCATTGTGTAATCGTCATATAATGGAAAATTATAATTACCATGATTAAACATCGAAATAAAAAATAATCGTAATAATTATTTAATGATGATTTAGTAGACTTCATAGGGCACCTAATTAATTATTTGATTAAATTGTCTCATTTGGTGGCTATGCCGTTTAAGGAGGTGTGTATTAGAGATGAGCTCGGGCATCACTTTTGGAGGTCCAAGCCAGCTCGATACCAGAGAATTTTTATCCGTGAGCGAGATGTATAGGATTACGTAGAGGCTGAGTCCGCCCCAGCCCGAGATATACGTCGGATGAAGGCCAAATTTTTCTGTCTCTCCACTTGGCCTTTGATCAGTGNTTATTTTCTCGAATGTTTAAATTTCAGGAGGGGCGAAATATATTGTTTGCCCCCTCACTAAAATTTCAGAGGGGGCGATTGCCCCCTCTGCCCCCCCGGCTGGCACGCCACTGCCTTTGATGTCTAAACACAAGGGAATTAGTAAATTAAAACCTTTTCTATCTCTAAACTGTGAAAGTAAAGGCGAAGAGATAACTGAAACAAATGAAACTCTAAGATGAATAAAAAAACAATCAAAATCAACATATTAAGCTAAATTAATTGATAATTAGCTCTAGCTTCACAAATCATAAGTACCGAACAGAAATAGCAAATCGCTGTAAGTTTCTAGACCTTATAAATTTTAAATTTTTTATAGTCAATAACTGAACAAAGTAGTAAAAAAGTTTATGAAATTTTTTTATCCATATGAGCCTGAAACCTTTTTTCGGGAAACGAACTCGAGCCCACATCAGGCTCAGGCTGAGCCCGTCTTTTCTCTGGTATGCATGGATTTGACACAAAAATAATTTACTTAAAAATTTTTGAAACTGTCCAAAAAATATTCAGATAAAAAAAAAAAAATGCGAATTTTGACAATGATCGGTGCCGTGTCTCTAACTGTCTCCGTTTGAAAGTATTATAACTACTTTTTCATGACGCGTATCTGCTAATTTAACGCATCTTTTTAATTTCGAGTCTAATTGAGTGCGGTTCAAGCTACAATATATCGAGAGCAGTTCTGCCTTAGCTATTCAGTAGAAAAGGGGCTTAAATTTATTTATCGTACAAACTTTTTCGTGACCTTGTTATTGTTGCTTATCCTCATCTGGCCTGACGAAGTCAGACCAGATCTATGAACCCGTTGACGAGGAATGAAATCGAAGACCAAAAGAGGAGTAGAGTAGATGTCTTCCCAGAGAAGTCCAACACAGTCCAGGATATGAGACGGTGTAGATGGCATTTAAGGCAGAGGGGGTAGGTTTTAGTTCCTTCAGAAAATAGTAAACCTTTTAGATGGCCGGTAACTAGGTGGGAGAGGGCGGTGCAGACTCTCGTTTCTTAGGGAAGAGTCAAAGAAACTACAGGCTTATTTCCTTTGTACCAATGGTGGGTGGGGGGAATCAACCAGGCCCCTCTTCCCCACTGGGCACTATGGGCACGTGCCCAGGGCCCCGCGATCGAATGGGGCCCCCTAGTTCCTGCCAGATTACCAAATGATAACCGATACATTATTACCGAAAAACATTAATTTTGAAAAATCTGATGATAATGACTTACTACAATACCTACGCTTATTATATTAGCTTTAGTTTGCCGCATGCGGATAGCTATACCTTGTACAACATAGCTTGAACTTTTTGACAGATGGGTCAGTGATGGGAAACAGAAAATATCTATTGGTGTAAAAAATGTGTTGGCTAAATATGTGGCTGTATGTATGTTTTAAACTATTCAAAATAAATAAATTCATTCGTCAATCAATTTTATTGCACTAGACATAAAAACATTGGGTAGGTAAGAAACCATTGTTTTCAGTTTTTCTATTTAAATTTTACCTCGAAGCAATAAAAACCACTTAAGACTTTCGGAAAATGCTTGAGTCCTTAACAGGTACTTTTATGTTGTGTGTCTATTCTTATGATTATTATCAATTTTTAATATTATTAAAATAAGAAGATATTGTTCGTCGTTGCAAAGTTATATCGATTTCAGATTTGACATCTGTCAAAAAGAAAGATCAAACTAATAAATAAACAGGGTATAATACTCCACTCTCTCTCAAAAATGAGTTTTTCCGATATTAGTATGTTTAGGTTAATTTAAATACCTATATGTAAGTATAAGAATACAATTTAAAAAAAAATTATTAAATTAAAAAAAGAATTATTTGATGCGGTGTGGTTTATGTCTTAAAGAAACCTATTCGAACGTCATTCGTAATACCAAAGACAAAAAAGGGGAATTCCCGATTCCCGATCGTCGTTTGACTTGACGAACGGGAATTCCCTTCAAGTATTTGTCTGCGATGTTGTGGCGTTTGTTTTGTTTGTAGTTGTTAGTTTGTTACTGACTGTGCTCGAGCTCTGATAAAAAAAATAGTATTGTTTGATTAAATCGTCGTTTTGTCTGTTTTGTGTTAGCGAATATTTTCGTTATAAAATTAATTAAATAGTGAATTATAATATAAAATGTCGAAACGGTCATATCCTAGTGGATCTGAAAAAAGGAAAAAAGCTCTACATCAGAAAGAAGTAATTGAAAAGTTACCAAAATTAACATCATATTTTACTACTACTACTGGAGAAACTTCTGTAAGTAGCAATCAACTCATAAATGTTCCACATGATGACTCAGCTCAATTACAAATTGCGGGAATTTCTAAACCTTCATGTTCCAATTTTGAAAAAGAGATTGAATCAGAAAGCGACTATTCCTACGACGAAAGTGCAACGACTTCAGTGACTTCACTAAAACCGACAACTCCAACTGTGTCAATTGAACAGCAGTTTTCCAACACAGAAGAATTAATATCGCACGATCCCGCCGATTATTTTCACGAAAAGTTTGTTGAAATAAATCGCGAAATTTTAATTCGTAAGGGACCAGTATATTTTCAAAATAAAGATTCTGACTTTTCCGAGGCATCCAGAACATACAAAGATGGTAATAAATTAGTAACGAGATATTTCAACAAAGCATTATTTATTCGCAAATTAAAGAACAATGAAAGCGTCGAAAGAAAATGGTTGCTGTATTCGCCTTCCAAATGCTCTGTATTTTGTTTTTCATGCTGCTTATTTAACCCAACTGATGTTAATCTTTGCTCTCGGAATGGATGTAATGATTGGAAGCATATTAATCACATAATTTTAACACATGAAAATAGCCCAGCGCATAAGCAATCTATGATGACTTATCTGGCACGAAGTAAAGCGGTTGGTAGAGTAGATATAGACTTATTATCTCAACATCAAAAGGAAGTGGATTACTGGAGAAACGTACTTAAACGGATTGTAGCTGTTGTAAAATTTTTGGCATCGAGAGGGCTTCCATTTCGCGGCGACAATGAAATCCTAGGATCTCCAAACAATGGAAATTATTTGGGTTGTGTGGAATTATTGAGTGAATTTGATCCATTTCTTGCAGATCACTTAAAAAAATTTGGGAATCCTGGAAAGGGTAACATTTCTTATTTATCAGCAAATATCTGTAATGAGTTTATTGAAGTAATGGGAAAACAGGTTCTAAAAAAAATTATAAATGAAGTTAAATCAGCAAAATATTTTTCCATAAGCGTTGACAGTACGCCCGATCTGTCTCATATTGACCAGCTAACTTTCATCATTCGATACGTAAAAGACTGTGTTCCTGTTGAAAGGTTTTTGAAATTTATACCTATTAAAGAACATAAATCTAAGTATTTAGCGGAGACCATCTTAAATTTTTTAGAGATACATGATATTCCCATAAAAGATTGCAGAGGACAAAGCTACGACAATGCTTCAAATATGTCGGGAAAGTATAGTGGTCTACAAACAAGAATCAAGGAAAAATGTGAATTTGCCACCTTTATACCATGTGCAGGACATTCACTAAACTTGGTAGGTGTCCATGCTGCTGGGTGTGTACCGGAGGCATCACAGTTTTTTGAAATAGTTCAGAAAGTGTACAACTTTTTTTCGGGCTCTACCCACAGATGGAATATGTTAACAGAACATTTAGGTTCAAAAAAAGTTGTTAAGAGTCTTTCACAAACCAGATGGTCAGCCCGAGCTGATGCAGTAAGTGCTTTGCATGGGGGTTATAAAAGAATATTAGAAGCTTTAATCACCATCGCAAACGATACTGAACAGGCACGAGAAACAAGAGACGAAGCCCTTAGTCTGTCTAGAAAAATGGGAAATCTAGAATTTATTATACTGACGGAAATCTGGAGCACTATATTGGAAAGAATAGACAAAACAAGTAATTATCTTCAGAAAGAAACAATAACACTGGACGTTGCAACCAATTTGTTGACTTCACTTTATGATTTTATTACTAACCTCAGGGATAAATTTGATAACTTCGAATCATCTGCCAAAGAAAATAACCCAGAATCTGACTACAAGGATCTATCTCAAAGAACAAGACGTAGAAGCTCACGGCAGAGTTTTTTTGATGGCTCTGCGCCATCAGTCCAATTGAATGGAAAAGAGCGATTCAACGTAGAAACCTTTCTCCCAATAATCGATACCTTGAGTGTTCATCTAAAACAGCGACAAAGTTCATATGAGATCGTCAGTCAACGTTTTAGTTTATTTTTTCACTTAAAAACTCTGAATTCCGAAGAGATACGACAAGGATGCAAAGAATTTTCTCAAATCTATCACGAAGATGTAAATGAAAAAGAGTTAGAAATAGAATGTCAACATTTAAAAGAATACTTAATAAATGTTCAGAGTGAAAATGAAGCATCTAACAGTGTACAGGAAGTATATAATCTATTAAAGCAAAACAAAATTGAAGACACATTTCCTAACGTAGAAATTGCATTGAGAATATTTTTAAGCATGATGGTAACTAACTGCAGCGGAGAACGCTCCTTCTCCAAATTGAAACGAATAAAAAATGAATTAAGAAGTACAATGCTTCAAGAGAGATTAAATAGTTTGTCGCTGATGTCCATAGAATGTGATATTCTCAATACCATAGATTTTGAAGAAGTGATTAACGATTTTGCTCATCTTAAATCTAGAAGGGTACCTTTGCAATCAACATAGAATTAATCTAAGGATTTTAAGTTAAGCGAGTTACTTTTGTAGATTATTTTTTATATTTCCTATTTTTTTATAGCTAGTAACTAAATAAAAATAAATTTAGAACCTTGTTTGTCTTTCTTTATCTATTGTAACTAAATAGTGTTTTCTCAAGGTCATAGGGGCCCCATGATCCTAATGTGCCCAGGGCCTCAAATAGTTTAAAGACGGCCCTGGAATCAACCAGTCCTTGAGAAACTGGGATTTCTTCAGGGAGTAAAGTTCAGGTTTGTGATCCTTACTATACATTTATACAGTCTTATTGTCTTGACAATTGATAAAGTGACAAAGATACGATGTACAAATTACATTGAGCTACCGCTTACTTGCAAAAAAGTCAGAAAAATATTTATTTTCAAATGTACCCATGCCTCAATAAATTATGATTATTTAACACATTTATTTAAAAAAAATAAACTTAATTAAAAACTGAAGAGCAATAAATAGTTTCAAAGAAATAATTTCAAAATTTATCAAACATATAAATACTTTTGTTAAAATTGTTAATACTTTTTCAATGATTCTTTTCTTCCTCGTGTTCGGAGGTGATAGACCTGATAGAAATGAGATTACACGGTGATCATTCCTCCCGAGGCTGATATGAGCACTCCCCTCATATTTTTTACAATCCCTTTCAGCAAACACCAAAACTGCACGTATAATTTTCATTTAAACAACAATATTTTAATTAACATCTGAACGAAGAACAATTCTAAATCATTTCACTGTTAACAATATTTCCCACAGTTTAAAATTAAGAAGATTTTGCTCAATTCGCCCTTTAAAATCGCAGTGCAGATCCCTTTAAAATCACAAAGCAAAATTTAAACACAAATACCGATCCTGGGCAATGTTATTCAATGAGCATTTTACATAAACAAGAACTATTTTTAAGAATAACCATGTATAATAATAATAAACATGGACAATAATAAGCAGGATAATAATCCTGTATGAATGTGTGCGCCATTGGCCGATGTTGTTGTTGTAGTTCATTCGTAGCACTAGAACTGTACAATGGACTAATGGCGACGGTCTGGGAAACATCCCCGAGGATGATCCGAAGACATGCCATCACAATTTTGATTCTCTACAGAGTAGATGGCATCCTCTCTTCGGTAGCCCGACGACCTGCACGCGAAATCGAGCACTTTACGGTCGAACAGTTTAACGAGCACCAATACCTCACACCCTCGGTCCCTACTCAGTCTGATCCAAATGGTCATCTTAACGTACACTGACCGCAGCCCGTGATGCTTGACTTCGGTGATCTGCTGGGAACCGTGTCTTAATGATCAGTCCACAGGCCGATAATACCTAGACTGTTATTTTAGAGAAAAGGGCACTTGCATGATTTGTATTTGATCGGTGCTTTTTACAATGTACCTCATACTTTTTTTAAATATCATAACCTGGTATTGCCTAAACCGGCATTATTTATCCTAAAATTCATCACCTCGTCTAGACGGAAAAAAAATCCAAGTAGTGAAAGGAAAATAGATTTTCTCTGTAAATGAGGAGAGATTATTCTTCGGGCTACATATGTATAAAATAAAAGCAACCTGACTAAAACACAAATAGAAATATAGATTTTATCTGTTGTGCCTGCCTCGGGGAAAATACAGGTATACATTTTTTACTTTTTTCCCCATTTGCAGAAGAAATTAAAGATTCAGGTCCATACTTTCATTTAGTGACGTAGTTGAGTTAGCTATTTACTGAATTTACGGTCAAAACGTAAATATATTACTCATAAAGAACTCGTCTTTGCTCTCAATCTAAGTAAAAACCGTTTCTGAAGCGTGCGAAGATATTTTCCAAACATACGCAAAGTAGATTTTTGATACAAAATATAACTTCTTTGTTGATCTTCTATCCTTACATCGAAGATCACTTCTTTTAACTCGGAAATTACTTTACGCTTCCTTCATTTTTACGGCATTTCCTTCTTGTGTCCCTGTGTGATTCTGTCCCTCAGTGAACTGATCGTAAAAACACGGTTCCCAGTGGAAGAACGAAGTCAAGCATCACTGGCTGCTGTCAGTGAGCTGGTGGGTGACCTCTCTGATCAGCCTGCGTAGAGATCGAGGATGCGCGGTATCGGTCCTATTTAAACTGTTCTACAGTAAAGTGCTCAACTTCGTGCGCAGGTCGTCGGGCTACTAAAGCAGGAGAGCCATCCTCTCTGTAGAGTACCAAAATTGCGATAGCATGTTTTCGGATCATCCTCAGGGATGTTTCCCATAGCGTCACCAAAGCCCATTGTGCAGCTCAAGATCGACGTAAATAAAGTACCTACCTATCAATGTCATTATGAGACTATTCTCAATGCAAACGACACACACACTTCCGATCACCATCAAGAGAAATGGAAAACTTGATTCACGAATGTTTTGAGGGAGAATATGTTCCACCAATCACCGTTTCTCTCGACCATATAGACCAGTGTTTCCCAAAGTGTGGTACTCGTATTTTCAGGGATACAGGAACAATTTAACGGGAGTACGGGTTCTTATGCGAAATATCTTGCAACAAACGAAAATTTCAAGAAAGTTTATTTAAAAACAAGGATAGTCGTGAAAATTTACGATTACGTACTTTTCTATTGGCTATTTTTTCTTAGTTAATAATTAGTGGTGTCAACAGCCAGTTGTGTTTTTTTCGTTCGTTTTAATGAAACTGTTGGGCGTCTGAGGTCGTTATGGCCCATAGTTGCGATTTTTAACTTTTGTGCGATTTGTTTTATAGTAAAAAATAAATTCATTTTTTATTAGTGGTACACAGCGTTACGAAAAATTTAGAAAGGGTACGCAAAAATCATAAGTTTGGGAAACACTGATGAGATAGACTAAAATTAGCTATCATGGATAACTTGATAGCTTTGTATGCGAAGATGCTGAGAACAGCTCTTAAATGATTCTAACGTTGTTGTCAATAGTAAAACTAATTTATGATCTATGTAAGCAAAAAAATTTAGGTAGTTTATCTTAAGCGATTAATATCTTCATTATGATCTATGTAAGCAAAAAACTGAACTGAGGCATTTTATCTTAATCGATTAATATCATCGATAAATATCGTTATTGTTTTGTGCGCATGTTGACGAAATTCAAATTATTACTTTTTGTAAATCAATTAATATTTTCAATGGGAAGAGGGAGAAAAAAACATTTTCGTAAAGGTCGAGACTCTGGAAAGACAACTAGTAAACATTCAAGTAAGGTAAGAAAAACTTTTTCCTACGTTATCTGATACTATCACCCCTCTTAAATCTTGGTTCAGACCAATGTGATTGGCAACAAGATTGCACGTTAGTTTCACTTTGTCCCGAAACTTAAATTTTTTTTATGTATTTACTATACTATCAACTCTTAACAACTTTCTCCATTTAAAAATATATCTAACTATGCAAAACTGTTCCATCGATAGATTTGTTTTAAAACCATCTCAATTGAATACAGAAATTTCGAAAGTTAAAGCCGCTATAGAACGACAAAAAAAAGTATACAATTCTGTAACTTTGTCATTGCTGCCAGATAAAGGCGCTAAACTAAAACACAAGATCAATGACTTAGAGAACTTGTTAAAAGACTTGACAATTTCAGCTGTTGAATGTTCTAAATCCTCTCTTTCGGAGACCGTTTCTTCCAACGTAGTGAACAACAAAGAACTAAAATCGAATAGCTTATCGACTATAAAAGATGGCAAAATAAACTCAGTTTTTTCAACTAGGGAGCCCAAAACAATCTCGTCACCAACAAAAGCTGTAAAAGAGCAGAAAGCAGTGTCTGTTTCTTCAATAACAGTTAAGGAGGTCAAATCAAAATCTGATTCATCCGCAAAATGGATTTCTGTTAGTTCTACATGTGACAGTGGTTTTCAAGATGGAGACTCAGATGATACTCTGACTATTTTAAAAAGCTCAACAGCTGAAAAATTTACTTCTTTTCATGAATTGAGTAAAAAGATTGAGAAAAGTTACCCCGACCCATTAAAAGAAGTAGTAAAATCTCCTGCTTTTAGAAATTATAGGAAAACCGATGAAATTCCTAAGACTAAGTTAACCGAAGCTAAGCCCTTATTTGAAAAAGAAAATTTAAAAAAATCCTCTCACAGTGCTTATTCTGTTAATCATGTGACATGTCTTGCTAATGAAGAAACCATAAAACAACTTCATGGATCTCTTGCAATTTTTCCTAATGATTGTGAAGATGAAAAACAACCCAGACACCTTTTAGTGCCCTTGATGAAACATCAAATTAAGGCATTGTCGTGGTTAATGTGGCGTGAAACTCAAACGCCCAGTGGAGGAGTTTTAGCGGATGATATGGGTTTAGGAAAAACGTTAAGTATGATTGCACTCATTTTAAAGCAACGAGAAAAATATTTAAAAGCGGTTCCAAAAAAATTGGATGATGACGTCACGAAAGGAACATTAGTTGTTTGCTTAGCTTCTATAATTCGTCAGTGGGAAGCAGAAATTAAAAAGTACTGTAAAAAGGACTCGGTTAATGTTCTTGTTTATCATGGAGCACAACGGAGTAGGGATGTTCGATATATGAGAAATTTCGACGTTGTCGTAACAACATATCAGATTTTGTTGTCTGAAAGTAAATCTAAAGAATCTGGTCTGTTTCAGCTGGAATGGGAAAGAATTGTTTTAGATGAGGCGCATACCATTAAGAACCATTCGTCTAAGACGGCTGCAGCTGTCTTTAGTCTTAGAGGTTTAAAGAAGTGGTGTGTGACTGGCACGCCTATTCATAATGATTTTAAAGATTTGTACTCTTTGGTGAAGTTTTTGCAATTTCATCCATTCGATGATTATAAGAAATTTAAAAAGCTAACTGATGACAAGACTGAAGATTATTCGGAACGTAGAAATATGCTGGTGAAGAGCATGTTATTGAGGAGAACCAAGTCAGAAGTTGATGACTCTGGTAAACCGCTGGTTAAAATGGTTAAAAAAAGTATTTTGACTAAGTATATAGAATTATCTCCCGAGGAAAGAAAAGTATATGATGAGCTGCACAAGAAAGTGACTGATGTAATAATGAGAAGAGTATGTGATAGCTCATCAAAAAAGTTCAACAATACTTCATCTCTTTTAGTTTTGTTACTTCGAGTTCAACAATGTTGTTGTCACGTTAGTCTTCTCAATCAAGAAGCCGAAGAATCGGTGGATGACTCACTAAATGATATATCAAATGCATTAACTTCTTTGTCTATATCTAGTAGTCCAAGTCCTGACTCTAGCTTTAATTCCAACTTAGACTTAACATTCAGTGAATACGAGAGTCATAGTATAAATGATAAATCAGTAATGAGTTCAAAATTGCTCAAACTGTTCGAGGAACTGGATAAAATAGCTGAGGAGTCAAATAATAGTGCAAAAAGTGTGATTGTTTCGCAATGGGTCTCCATGCTTAAATTAGTGGAGCTGCACCTTAAGAAGAAAAATAAAATTTATCATATGATAGCTGGTAATACTAAGTCAGAGGAAAGACAGAAAATGTCTGAGGATTTTAATTTTAACTCTGACAGCCCTAAAATTTTGTTGCTTTCATTGAAAGCTGGTGGAGTTGGATTGAATTTGGTTGGAGCTAACCACTTGTTTTTGTTGGATTTGCATTGGAATCCAGCTTTGGAAATGCAGGCTTGTGACCGTATACACAGAGTGGGACAAAAGAACGAAGTATTTATTCATAAATTTGTGTGTAAAAATACTATTGAAGAAAAGATTTTAACCTTGCAAAATACAAAGAGCAACATGGCTTCTAGTGCCTTAAATAATGCTGGAAAAATTAAAAAAGGCATATCAATTGATGACTTGAAAATGTTATTTAATATCAAATTTTAATTGTTTTTCATTTTATTGAAGTACTCATTGTGTTTATAAGAGATTTAAAAAGTATCTATTTTAAAGTTATATAATATTTTTATGTGGTATATTTCTGAATTGTGATCTGGTACCGTAATTTTAATTGACAAAGCATTATATGTATTTTATGTTTAAAAATTTTTTCAAATGACCATGTTGAGGTTGTAGGCTGTCAGCCCGTAGAAACCCTCTTCGAGTTGGTCCTATTCTGTGATGTTTTTTTGGCTTTTCGCTACCCGGAAATTATGGTGTGGTGATTATTTTGCTATATCATGATATAGAATTCTTTTCAATGTCTTTATTTCACAATACTCTGACTAACCTTTATTACTAACCTTTCTGAGTTCACATATTGAGTTTTTAATACTTCACATTTGTTATCTTAATAAAATTTATAAGTTTAACTTTGCAATGTTTTATACAAATTTTATTAAACCTTCTTTGGGGTGTTAATAGGTGCTGTTTCTCACCAAGGTTGGCAAATTTCAGGATTTTCTTTTTTTAATGAATAAAAGAAAAAGAAAAAAACAGATTTGATTTGAAATAGATTTTTCTTAATTTAAATCATATATTTTATATTTACCAGTTGAAACATCTGATAAAATGTATTAACACTGCTTAAATTATTTAAAAACAAAAATATATCTGTAATACTAACTTAAATTTTTCAAAAATTATTATTTGTTACTTACTACTTATGGAATAAAAAAATCATGGTTATTTTATTTTTATTCTAATTAAATATCTTGAAATTTTTGAAAGGCACAGTTGGATATCCTTTGAAGAGTTAAAATTAATGTAGATCAGGATAGAAATAAAGAAAACAAAATTGTTGCAAGTTTTTCTGGGCAAAGCAATTCTTATTTCAATTTTAATGAACATTAACTACATATTTAATATGTTTTAAAAATACTTGGAAGTATTCATATAAACATAAAATGAAATAGGTGTCATTGTAGTATGTTAATTGCCATCAAATTATTTTATATACAGCTAATGTAAAATTATGATTTATCAGTATTAATGTTAATCTTCACCACTTTTAGCCTATTAATTTTATTTATTTTTTAGTCTTTTTTAAAATATAATAATTTATCCTTTCATTATTTCTTGGATAAAACTTTCATTATCAATGAAAACAAACTTTAAAAAGAGTCCCACCCTAAAGAATATATTTATAAAAATATTTCTCACCTAATAGCTTAAAAAACAAGCAGGTGATTCAAATCTATTTAAAAAAAGAAAAGATTTAAATCATGCCTATCCTGTTTCTTTCGTTCCATATTTTTTCAATTGTATCCCCAACATTAGAAATATTGTTCATTTGGTATTCGTCATTTAACTATTAATTGTATAATTTTTAGTTTCTTCATAATTTTGTGACCCTAGTCATTACTTTTTAAACTTTTGTGTGAGTTAGTGCTATTTTTAAAAGACATATACATGTTTGCTTTATTAAGTAAAGTGTTTAAGTAACGAATAATTCTAAAGTTAACAGTATTTGGATTCATATTTTTGTAAATGGGAAAAAAAATGTTAATAATGCTGATTAAAAATTAGTTAAATGTTTTAGGTTAGTTGTGTAAAATTATTATACATTTGTAGGAGTAAAAAGGAAAGTTATGCATGGACAAAAGTTTGAGTTTTTGTTTCTTTTCACAAACATCTAGAAATTATAAAAATTAAAATGTCAAATTTCGGAGCTTTACTCTGGTTTGCTCTATTCTTAAAATTGTATCTGATATTTAATGCATCAGTTATGCAACAAAATTATTTTTAGGTATTTTTAATTTAATTCATATTACTATGCAATGTTCATCTAGTAATTTTATTGAAAACTTTGAATTATACATAGAAAATGTCAAACAAGTAAGCTCCTGACAGTTCGGTCTAATGTGGTGTAAAAGTGTGCTGTATGACAAAATCCATTTAAATGCATGATACACATTTTAAGATAGATAATTACTGCAAAAGAATATTACTACCTAATCACTACTGTTTATTAATTTACTACACAGGTGTGAAAAGTTCAGACCCAACAACCACATTAGTAGAATAAATTTTTTTCTCCTCCAACTCTTATGTGAGCTTAATACTCTTATAATGAGCTTAATAAATGACCAAATAGCCAGAAGCCTGCTGCATTTTAGCAATATATTTTTAGACATCTTTTCTCAAATTGTTGATATAGAATTTGATTGCTTTTTCTAAAGCATTTAGATGTTTCAAAAATATGTGCAGATATAAAATTTAAGCTTGTGCGTTGACTTTTTTTTTGTAGCATTCAAATTTTTTTTAAACACTGATTTTAAATAATTGTAAAATGCATTTAGCTTATTGACTATTGTAAGTTACTTGGTTAAACTATTGACTGTTGTAAGTGAAATTTGGACAAGACCAAAAATAAGATTTAAAGCTGACATGCTTCATGTGATCTACTTGTAAATAATTTTTGTGCCTTTTTGAAATTTGGACTCTTATAAACTGTACTTATGAATGTTATTTTTTTTTTTTTAATAAAAGAGTTGATTTTGAACAGTTCTTTTATTTTCTGTGTATTCATTGTTTTTCTCAGAAAATAAGTTTTTCTTAATATTTTCATGATGATGGAGATCAAGAGTTGGGAATTGAAATCAGTTTTGAATAAGGCTGTAAAAGTGTAGAAATATCTACTTAATTTAAATGTTTTTTTAAACTTAACCTTTATTTTACAAAAAACCCCTTATTTTGAATGGACTTAAATGTGTTTAATTTTTAGTAGAAAGAAAAATTCCGTAGAAGATTGCCAAAATATTTGATGCTTGAAGTTCTAAGCTGCCATTTATTATTTTTTAGGTTCAAGTGATTAATTATTTTTTGGGTAGAAAGGGATTGTTCAAGTGTTACATAAGCATATTTTTTTGCTTTAATTTTTGCATTTACTGAAATAATCTAGTTATGGGATTAATTCAAATAAAAATATGTGATTTATGTTTTAATCCAATATATAATATTTTGAGTAAATGTTTCAAACTCTTTGAAGGAATAATTTTTCTTCTTCAATTTTTGCATTCCTCGATTTCAACTTTTGTTTCATATTTGAAATTTTTCCATGTTTCATTTATTTATTTTTTAAACAATTTTTATTTGGTTTTTAAGAAAATTTTGAAAATAAGGTGATTTTAAAGTCTTATGCAAGCATTGCTCTTACCCTCTCTCTCCCCTTGTCAGCAAAAATAAGTAAATTACAAATCTCCCATTATTAGGTACTTTTGTAATATTTAAATGGGCTCTATGAAGTCGCCCATATGACTTCTAAAGCGAATTTAGCTGAATGAATTTTACTACTCATTGACTCTACAGTCCATGAAGGACCTTGACTTCTTTTACCACATCCGCAGAGCTCATTCTGGGCAGGGTGAACAGGGCGCAGCACCCTGCAAAAGAATCCACAATGTTGCCCCTGAAGTAAATTAGTGCCCTGATGTAATAGACTCCATACCTTTTTGCCCTTTCTTTCCTTAACCCTTTATTTTTTCCCCAAACTCTACAATGGATTTCTTAAACTTTTGTTATTTTTAACTCTTTTTATTTAGTTTGCCATTGTTGTCAATACATAGATTTATATAGGAAAGGAAAAATAGCCATCACACCCCCTTGTTGCACTTGTCTTTGAAAGTTTGCAGTTACTTCCACTATCATTAAATCATAATTATTATTAATCATTTTAATTATTAAATCATAACTACAGACACTTAAAAACGTACATTTATTATTTTATTAATATATGCATGCATTTTAAATAAATTACTAAGTTAATTGGCTCATTAACTCGATATATATGTTAATTTATTAATAAAAATTAGTAATTCATATGATTGCTTTGCTACTTTTAGTAAAGAAAAAAAAAATTTCTTTTTCTAATTGACAATGTTTTTTAATTGAACGTGTTAAGCCCATAGAAAGAAATTATTGCCTTTTTAGAATAATAATACCCTTTTTTTAAACTTTTGCACCCTGCCCTTTTTTCTGCCTAGAATGAGCTCTAACATCCGATTACAATATCCGAGCCATTGTATTCTTTTTATTTTTATTAAATTTACTCTTTTTCTTTATATAGTTTACTTAACTCTAAAACTAAATGAATTCAAGCATTATAATTTTCATTTCTTGTTATTTAAGCAATTTCATAGAAAATCAACATGGCCTTCAAAATAGTTAGGAATAAATAAATCTAAAATGATCCAATAGAAAATTTGCTGGTCCATTAAAACTTTTTTTTTTCATTTAAAACTTTTTATTAGCTTTAAAACAGGTTGAAAAACTTACTGCCTACCTACATTGTAGTTTAATTTCCTACATTTTTGTAGACAATCTATCTATACTTAGGTTTTACTAGGGTTAAAATGCTAGAAGGGCTCACAGTTCTAGTTTTTCATTTATTTTAATTTTAGAATCTTTACTGAACCATTGTAGAAATTTTTCTGTAACAAACTGAGTGATGAAAATCAAATTTCAAAATAAAATCGGAAAAATTATATATTTGGTGATTGATTAATTGGTCACTATCGTCTGATTGAAACATTATGGAAAGATGCCTCATGTGTTAAAAGTGTAACATTAGTCATCCAAAAACTAACTTGGAATTATTGAAGGCAATTAAAATTGATTTAAAATTGCACTTTAATTTTGTAACCATCATTTAAACTCAAATTTATTCCGCAAGCTTTTCGTCCTAACGCATTCAATAGTCAGAAGCCCTTTGTTCTATTTTTTTTTCATTTTTTAAAAAACTTTATTTCACCAATTAAAAAATTTACTTCTGTTACAAGTGTCCAATTTTAATCTCTTTCTAAATCACCTATGCAATCTCTAAATTTTAATTGGTGATTTCATATATTTACCTTGCCCGTGGTCATTAATTCCAAATAACTATGTTTAATCCATGTACTTTTTAATTACTGATGCAGGTTCTGGTTATCATCATTCTGTAAATATGAAATAATCAGGGCTGATTGTGCTCCGGAAAAAATCCGGATTTCTGGGTTTTTCGCTAACCTCCGGAAGTTTCCGGCGATCAAAGATTCAGACATTTAAAAAAATCATTGATTACAAAAGTTTCCGGAAATCAAATTTTAAAAGGTGGAACTTAAAAACACAGCTTGCTTTATTTGTTTTTAAGGGAGAGCCAGATACTTTATAAGCTTATATTCAAAATTAATATTCATTTTTTATCAGTAAATAGTTATAATCATGAACTCAAGAAAGAAAGACGTATTTATAAATTTCAATTACTTCTACAGGTCTTTCATAGGTATGTAAAAAATTTTAAATATATTTTAAGTAAGCTAAGAAATATTGACTCAAGAAATTTTGAATGAATTTTTTTTTGACTCAAGAAATTTTCAGGAATTTTGACTTGGGCTCACAATCACCGCTGATTAATAATGAATGCTCATTTAAAAAATATATTTTGAACAATGCACTTTTTTCTAAATAAATATGTCTCAATATTAGTCTAGAATATTATTTATAAAAGATATTGTTTTTCAGGATGGTGGTCAGAGACAAGCTTACAAAGACATTGTCAAAGATAATGAAAACTTTGTGAAGTATTATAAAGTAAGTTAATCTCTGAATTAATTAAATGCCTTCTTTTATTTCTTTTTTTTTCAATCACCATGTTTAATGCTGATGAAAGTTCACAATCATTAGATAAAGAGTTATTAAGATGTTCTATATTTTATTTAGTGCGTAATGCACTAAATAAAACATGGAACACCTTAACTTTTAATCTAATGATTGAATTTTCATTTGTTGAATCTTAATGATTTGAAGGCAGAGCCGGATTATACCTTTCGTAGGCCCTAGGCATAGCCGTTTTTGGGCCCTCCCCTCCTTCCCCCACTCCTCCCCTCTTTTCAAAATATATGCTAAAATTTTCTTGCATATGTTTTTTTAAATTTTTATTAATATAGATTTTAATTTACAAATTTGTTTATCGAACTTTATCTGCAATACCGACATACTGCCGATATTGCAGTTGATATCGANGAAATTCTCACCCATTTTTTTTCTGCAATGAAAACACTGAATAATGAATTTTAATTAAAAAAAAAAAAATTTGGATAATGCACTTTTTTCTAAATAAATATGTCTCAATATTAGTCTAGAATATTATTTATAAAAAAAAATTGTTTTTCAGGATGGTGGTCAGAGACAAGCTTACAAAGACATTGTCAAAGATAATGAAAACTTTGTGAAGTATTATAAAGTAAGTTAATCTCTGTATTAATTAAATGCCTTTTTTATTTCTTTTTTTTTCAATCACCATGCTTAGTGCTGATGAAAATTCAATCATTAGATTAAAAGTTATTAAGATGTTCTATATTTTACTTAGTGCATAATGCACTAAATAAAACATAGAACACCTTAAAATAACTTTTAATCTAATGATTGAATTTTCATTTATTCAGTCTTAATGATTTGAAGGACTTACATCAAATATGCTAAAATATTTGTGCAGATGATATTTTTAGTAATGAAATCAGACAAAAAAAAGAAAAAAAAAAAAAAAAAAAACAGGCTTTCTCTGAAGAAGTATGTTTTTTTTTTCTCTACATATTTGAATTCTTGACTCTCAAAATCATGAGGTCTAAGGCCGCATGAGTCTGTAAAATCTGAAAATTATAATTTAGGTATAAGATTGGTCATAACTTTTGAAACCTTAATGTTGATAATTTTGTGCAAAAGGTTTTTTTAATTATCTTCATTAGTTCCGAAGATATAAAGAAATACACACAAAAAAAAAGCAAAAGAAATTTAACATGAAAAGGCTTAAAACATTGGCCGCTTTTCTGTAGGAACTATATTTTCTATTTTAAGGCTACTCATACTTTGAAGGTCTAGATCCAGTGTCACACTTTCAGTTTCAAAATCTTTTGTCACATTTGCAGTTCCAGAATGCATTTTTTAATTTGCACGTCAACTTTTCTTATTAAGCAAATAATTTATGTACTTTTATTCTTCATTTAGGTTCAAGGTATTGTGCCTCCAGAAGAGTGGGAGAGTTTTATGAATTCATTGAGAGAATGCTTACCTACCACTTTTCGCATCACAGGATACAGGGGGTATAGTTTAGCAATTTTCTTTTTATTCACTAAAGAATCTTTGTAAAAGTTAAAATTTACAATGTGATGCTTAAAATTATGTCTACTTAATTAAGTTGATTGTTTTGCTGAATGATTCATGGTCTCTTTCTTTTCATTAATACCAAGATTTCATTAAAATAGAAAGTGTATTTCAAACGCTACGAATTTTTGACATTTTTATTTTGTAAGAAGAATTTATGTTCTTAGCATTTCCTCATATATGTGTTCTTAAGCTAAGTTTTTCTTTATTGAGTGAGGCAAAATATCAACTCTTTAATAACTTAGTGCATAATCAACACTGTTATCTTATATTTTTTATTTTATATGTTATACAAGGAAGTCAACTTGCACTGCTTTGTGGGAACTTTTTTTCTGATGGCAACAAAATTCATGTTTTAATGTACCATTCCTAATTTGGCTGCTAACTCATTATAAAGTTAATTTTCTCACCTCTACATCATATAATTAATTGAAATTCTACAAATTTTGGTTTTTAATTCTTTACTATTTTATTAATTTTTGTTGGTTCAAAGCAGAGCAGTTGGCATTCCTGGTTATAAAGTGTGCATATTAGTTTTAATTCATAGTAATACATTGCTTAAACATGGCAAATTAAGTCTTGCTATTTTTTGTTATTTTAATTTAAAGAAAATAATGAATGTATTATATTCATATTGATTATATGATAAATTACCTGATCTTGACTGAGTTCCATTTTGCTGTAAAATATTTCTTACATCAGCATGACAGCCTAGTACAGGCCAGGGCAGTCTTAACTAGTCATTTCCCTCTAGCTCGATCAGACAGGTTTTTCCATCGATTGATTCCCATGGTTTTAAGATCCTTTCCTGCAGAATCAATCCATTTGGTGTTTATAAATCTTATCCATCTGGTGTTGATCTGAACAATACAGTTTTTTTCTAGTATATAATGTCATTGTTACATGTGTCAGACTGTGCTTACAAAATTCTGTTATCTTCAGATAAGTGTGAAAACATTTAAGTTTAATGTGTGAAGAACAAGTTTTATGCCTTATTTCATTGAGTGAGAAAAACAGTTTGAATAGTAATTTTCTAACATCTCAACTAAACTTGCATGAGGGTTTTCACATATTTTAGCTCATTGTCGAATGCTAACATGTCTGAGAGACTGCTTGGATGATCAGTTTAAGATTTTAAGTGCAAATGCAATTAAAAAAATCTATTTGTTGTGCCATATATAAGTTACATAATTTAACCAACTTATTTAGTTCATATGTTTTTGCATGTTAAAGTTGTGAAGATAATTAGTGACACTCCATAAAAATTTATTTATTCACAAATTGACAATGTATTTTAATTTCAGGCAAGCAAAGGCTCTATTAAATATCATAAAGGGAAAATACTTTGAGGATTTGTTAAAGATTAAAGATGAAGGACCTGATTTTTACAAGCCATTCAATTTACCATGGTAAAAAATTTATTTTTAATCAGAATTTTTTGGCTTTACTTTGTTCAAGTTTATGGTTTTACACCATTTATCTTTGAATCAATACTCTTGAGTATGACAGAAGCGATTGTATTCCAGGTTTTTTTTATCATCCCTCTGGGTCTAAAATCTTAGCTTTGAATCGAAAACTTATCCGATGAAATTTGACGGAATGCTGCAATGTAAAATTCAAATTTTGAAGCTTTTGCTAAGTCCTGTGATAAAGGCATTTACATGTATGTGATTCTTCTGCCAATTGGTGGATGTCCACTAGTTAGATTCTTTTGATTTGGTGGATTTTTGTCATTTGAAACTGCTTGAATCCACTAATATCAACATTCATTTTCATGCAATTTTGATATCAAACATCAATTTTTATATTTACCTGACGTAAAAGCTACTTGTTGAAATTCCTATTCACTTTATTTACAGAAAAAATTTTACATTGCATCTTGTATACTTGCACTTTTAAAATTCGATTTCACGATTTGTATTCCCCCGACGAAAAACTGTAATATGATTCGTATTTACGCTATTTAAAAATTTTTTGCGGCGATTCCTATTCACATCATTTTAAAATCAAATATTGTGATTCTTGTAATAACTAAATTATATCCAGGGGTCGCATTTCCCCTAAAATTCATAAAATTCCTAAAACTATGTGCAAACCCTAAAATTCCTAAAAATCTGACAAAATTTTGTTGGTGTTCCTAAAAAATTAGAATATTAATAAAAAAGCAATAATCTAAAATATAAGAATTTAACTACATTAATTAAAACTGTTTTAATTTTGCCACATGGGAATTCTGATCCTGAGAGAGGTTTTTCGATAAATAAAGCAATGCTTAATGTGAGTCACCATGAGAATACTATTATGTCTCTTAGACTAATCAAAGATACCATTCGAAATTATGGAGGAGTGTTGAAGATCACCACAACACTATTGAGGGCAGGCAGTAAAAGAATCTCACAAATCATATCAAGAATATATTAGAAAAATGATCATGATTAAATTGTTTTTCTCTAACTTCTAATATAAATTGCTGATTTGAAATCTAATAATATCACACAATAGTTTTTCTTAATAAAGTAAGGTAAAGGGTAATAATAAAGTTTTGATTAAGAAGGTAAAAATTAAATAAATCCAAGTTGGTGTTAATTTATTTTTCTCTTGATTTATTCTCACTTTTGCCAGTTCCTGAATTATGCACTTAATTTCTGATAGGTAATATGTAAAGTTGAAATTTCATTTTTACACTTTAGAGATTTCATTCTTGACTTAATAAATTTCAGAGCTTTATTTTATGGCTTGCAATTATTTATGATATGTGTGGATGAATTGTAATAATCTTCTGTTATGTAATAAACTACCGTGTGATTTGTTTTTATCCTAGCAAAATCATATATTACCCCTAAAATTTACCTAAAATTTTTTCAAAAAAGTTCCTAAAATTACCCTAAAATTTTAAAAAACTTTGCTGCTACCCCTGTATATCTTAAATTTGTTACTGTATAAAGGTGTGATATACTTCATTATTTGGTAACTAACTATAAATTTTAGTTGAGAAAATTATATTAAACTTGTATGGTATTTAAATTGATTGTTTGGTATTAAGTTTTTTGCCCATACAATTTTCAAGATCTTTCCTTGCGTGTCACAATTACCTCTACTACTAACTCAGGCTAGTTGTTTCCTGGTAATATTTAATAAGAAAGTATTGTATTAAAATGAAGTAAAGATAAACAATTTGATAAAGGGGAAATAATGTCGCATAGACATGCACTTGTTTTGATTCTATAATGATAAAAGAAACTCAAAGGCAGAAAAGAAATTGCAAGCAAGCTCCAACTAGTTCTTTTTTTTACACTTAGCTTTATACATCGCACTAGGTAATTTCTTCACTTATATATTGTACACTGTGTTTCAGGATAATTTCTGTACAAATTTTGCTCTTAATTGGTGTTTTAATTCTTTCATTGTTCTTTTTATGTGTTTTAATTTCTAGGAAGCAAATTCTTTATTAAACTAAGTCTTTTAAGTTAAATTTATAAAAACATTTCATATCTACCTATGTTATGAAAAGTTTTTTTTTTATGTAAAAATGTTTAGATATATCTTTCTATTCTTATTTCTTCATTGATTTTCATTTTTTTTTTATTTACATCATTACATTATTAGTTTCATTACTGTTGCAACAGTCACTCCAGTCTTTATTTATATTTTTGAAATCAATTTTTGCAATGCACTTATTGCAGAATTTTAAATAGCCATCTCATAGTTTTTCAAATAAACTTCAACCCATCATCTAAATAATTACAAAGCTGCTAATCTGAATGCTTTAAGCTTTTGTTGGCGTAATTTAGTTTACAATCATCCAAATAAACTTTTAAGCCAATTAAAGTAATTTTGTGTAACAATTTAGATTATTATCTGTTACAATTTAAATTATAAACTCATATTACAACTTAAATTTTTATCTCATATTACTACATAGATTATTATCCAACATAATGCTTATTCCCTTATTTGTTTTTTAAAAAAAATTTTGGCATAAATAGCATTAAATATGCACTTTAAGCAAAACCTGTCTAAATTCATTTTTATTTCAAAACTTCAAAAACTTTAAATATTAAAAACTTAATTTTTTATATTGTAAGGTGTACAGCTATATGCCAGATGCATCTTTAGTTACAATTGAATTATTATCTCATGATGCTACTATCTATTCATTCCAGTTATATATTTTTAAAATAATATTTTATTGTGATTCTTAAATATAACTTAAATATTAACTTCATGGTACATCAAATATATGAATGAGCTTAAACTTGCTTAAATAAATATTTCCAGGTTCAAACTTTTGATATGAATGCTATAAATTTAGTAACTAGTTTAGTTATTTTAAATCTAGGTATCCAGGTGAACTTGCTTGGCAAATGAAGTTATCTCGTGTTGCTATTAGATCCTCCGAGAGCTTACGACAGTTGCACAATTTTTTAGTTTCAGAGACTCAAACGGTAGGTACTAGTATTACTGCTTACAAGTTAAAAATTACTGTTTTTAAAAATCTTTTTTACAGTAGTTTTTATCTGTTTATTTCAGGGAGATATTAGTAGACAGGAAACAGTCAGCATGATTCCTCCCTTACTTCTTCAAGTTGAACCTCATCACAAAGTAAATGAGAATTTTTAAACTTATTTATTAATTTCTTTCTGTAATTATGGTAAAGATCAAAGTATGTATCTAAAAGGTAGTCTGAATGATTATGAGTTCATTCAGACTAGTTCATTATAATCATTTATTCGATTTATTATTTCGTAAAATATTTAGTGACTATAAATTTTTTCAATGTCTCTTTTTTATTAAAAAAAATGGCGTACAGCATAGTTACCATATATTTCCAATTAATAAGCCGATCCATGTAAAAGCCTAAGAGTACGCTTATTATTTAGAAATTCACCCTAAATTCAAAACTTGTATATAAGCCTTAACATAAAAAAAGACACGATATGTTTGGAAATATAATGTACCCATCATCCACTCCACAAGCATTTCAGATTAGTAGTGCCACTAGGCATCATATCATCACCTCAACCTGTTTTGTTTCCTCCTCTTCCAGGCTTAAAGTAAAATATCACAAAGATCCAAAAAAAAAAAGTGCTGTGTTTAAAAAACTTGATATGTTGGTAAGGTGAAAAGTAGGAATTCTCCAAAAATGTTACTAAATATGGTTACTGTTATAGTTTTAGCATTTTAAGTTTTTGCTTGCTTCTATTTAAAATATAGCTTTTATTCCCTTACTAAGGCATTACTCTTTATAAGTCTGTATCATTAACTGAAAAAGGAGTTGAATTAAAGTAGTGATAGACATTTTTTAAAAAGAAATTGTCATTTGCAGGGAATTGCGATTACCATGGCAATTTGAAAGTGATATATGAATAAGCTAGTGACCATTGTTCTGAATAAAATGTATAATTTAAAAAAAACTACTGTAGTATTCTTAGGATAAAATTAACTTTTCAATTGAGGAGTTAAGTCTTTTATTTAGCTAGTCTATTCAAGAGATTAAATTTTATTCAAATTTTTGGCTATTTCTATTTTTTTTATTCTGATTCCTTGGATTACAACATAAAAATGTGTATAAATGTTTTTATGAGTATGTATTTATTAAATCTGTTTTTTTAATTTAAATACTTTAGGTTTTGGACATGTGTGCAGCTCCTGGTTCAAAAACTGCTCAACTGATTGAATTTTTGCATAGAGATGAAGGCAAAATGCCAGGTTGTATTCTATTTTATAAAACTATATCATTAAATACCCCTTCATTTGAAAATAAGATTTTTCTATATTAATTATTCCATGTTTAATTTATGCTTTTGCTACATAATTTTTCCATTTCAATATGATTTATCTTTTTTAGAGGGTTTGATAGTTGCAAATGATGTTGATAATAAACGATGTTATATGCTTGTGCATCAAGCCAAGCGTTTAAATAGTCCATGTCTGTTAATCACCAATAATGATGCTGGCATCTATCCCAACTTTAAAATCACTGAAGTAAGTTTGCTATGTGTAAATTTTTTAAAGCAATAGAATTTTGTTTTTTAATTGTAGACTAGGTTCTATAGATAAGCACTGCAGAAATAATTACTTTTAATGGGGGAGGCATTTATAACTAAAGAGTAATTCACTATCTGCTTATCACATGATAAGTTCTCTTACTATAGAATTTGAGTATAAAACTACTCTACTAGTTGCTTATAATTGGAGAAACACTTATAATTAAAGAATTGTTCACCATCTGCTGCTTACCATAAGATGATTTCTCTGAGTATAGAACTACTTTACATACTACAAACAGTTGTTTATAGTAGGAGAAACATTTATAATTATGTCGAAAATTATAAAATTCATTTTAATTTTAGTTCATCTAATTATTTTGCTGCAAATAATCAAATATAAAAATCATTAATATGTTTAAAATTTGCAAAATGAATGTAGTCTTTACCCATAAGTTTCAATCACAAAAATTATCTCATGTACTTTTATAATTATTATTTAATATATTATTATTTCTTGATTAAAATTCATACAAATGTGTAAATAAAAGTTAAAAAAAAAAAATTTAAAATCAGCAATGTTTTTTAAATTTTAAGAACTCTTTCGGAATATAAAATATTAATACAATTGCAAACATTGAAAAATATTTTGTTCCTTAAATTTACAAAGAGCATTTAAGTAGTAAAGATTGAGTAATTAAATTTTTAATTAGGAAGCTAATAATTGGTAAACAGTTTTTTTTTTTTNTTTTTTTTTTTTTTTTTTTTTTTTTTTTTTGGTAAAATTGTTTTGAAAAATTAAACTTTTAAGGAGCATTTTGTGATAAAAATTCAAGGAAAATGTCCTTGTGTCTCTAATTGATACCTTTTGATATGTCATTTTAATATTTTTTGTTGTAATTTGCAGGATGGCAAGAAATTTAATTTAAAGTTCGATAGAATATTGTGTGATGTGCCTTGCAGGTTTGTATTTATGTTTACATTTTTTTAAAAATTTAAAATGTGTTTAATTTTAAATAATTATATGTAATCTGTAATTTTATCAAGTTTTATTTTTTAAATACACTGTGAAAATAAGTTATGCAAAGTTTTAAAAAGTGCATTTTGTAAATTGATTTTCAGATAATTCTGTTTCATTTTCTGTACTATTGAATGTAAAACTTAGTTTAAATATGTTTCACAGATCAGTTATTTTAGAATTATTATACTTAAATGATTTTTACTTCAATGAATTCAATGTGTTTTGAAATTACAAGTCTTATAATTTAACTATGACAATTCATAATTGTGAAATATTGATCTTAAATGTTATGATTGAATAAAGACTGATAGTTTTGATATAAAATATACACATCTGGTAAGATTCTTCTCTCAGTTATAATTTCTGATTGTATATTATTGATTTTAATTTCCATCTCTTTTCCTGACAAAGCATAATGACTATTTACTTGCAATAATATGTCATCAATGTTACTCCTGATCCCAAGTCTCAATTCTTCCATTTTTGCATAAACTCACTGGTCTCAAAATGTAATAAGTTTCAAATTTATAGTTTAAAAATTAAAATAATCATGTAAAACCATATTAAGGTAGAAAAAATTGGAATTCGTGACAAAAGCAAAAATGCTTGTCCTGGCATGGTGTTAACGTTGTTTAAATGAGAAGTTTAAATTTTTTTTTTTAATTTTGTTCCATTTTTACTTATAAACTCTATACATGAAGGTATGATTTATAAAGATTTGATAGCATATTTAAAATTCCAATTAACTTTAGAATATTTGAAAAATTCAGTTCTTTTGAATTTTTAGAAGTTCCAAGACTTAATTGATCATCAATATAATAATTTACATTTCAGTGGTGATGGTACAATGCGTAAAACAGCTGAAATATGGACTAAATGGCATACTGCCAATGGCAACAACATGCATGGGTAGGTCTTGTATAGAGTTCATACATAAATAAAACAGGAAGTATGTGAGTAAAGTCTTTTAAAATGTATGATTTATATTCATTTTTTAGACTGCAGCTGCGTATCCTCAGGCGTGGGCTAGAACTTCTTGCTGTTGGTGGTCGCATTGTATACTCAACATGTTCCTTAAATCCTGTTGAAAATGAAGCTGTCATTTGTACTATTTTACAAGAAACAAAAGGCTAGTGATTTATAATAATTTTTATATTGTAGAATACCATTGATTTAGCAGAATTGTCCAATTAGCTGAATTAATCAAGGACCATGCATTTTTGCCTTGCATTAATGCAAAAAAGAATGCAAATTCCATTTTGCTTTTGAAGTCTTAAGAGAAACTAGTTTTTCATTTGTGTTTGTTATTTCCAGTTTCAATAGAAGGGAGTAATCTATGTTTGTTTTATTATGCTTACTTGTGTTAAAATATTAATATTATTTCTAGATTCTATTAAATTTTTTTCCCTTTAAATATTAGGCAATGATGATGAATAAATGGCTAATGACTGCTAGAAGATATAAAGGCATAGTTGGCAAAAAATCTTATTGTAAAAAATGAATAAAAATTGGATTTTTAAAGAAATATTTTTTTTTTTACCTATATTTATCAAAGTGCTGAAAAATATCTGAATTCAATATCTGAGCTCAATATTATTTAAAAACAATATTTTAGAAATGCTTAATATTTCTAATGAAAATTATTAAAATAATTATATAATTTCTAATTAGTCCTTAAATAAATAAAATCATTTTAATCTCATTACTTTCATGAATTTGCAAAAGAAAGAAACTCAATTTCTCAGTTAGAATAATCTAATTTAGATCAATTATTATAATAAAAATCAATTATCTTAAATTACTCTTGGCTGAACGGTAGTAGTATTTCTTTATTATTTATGTGCTCAAACTACGTGTTTTAATAAGTTTTAAAAGTATTTGCATTTTAGGCATAAAACTAAATTGGGTATGTAATTGAAATGCTAATTATATAACATATCCTCCAACATGTGATATTCGGGTGAATTTGGGCTTTAGGAAAGGTAACTAACTAAAGCAAAAATTCTGAAACAGATTTTACTTTAATACTTAACACAGTTTGAGTAGCTGCATTAGGTAATCTTACCTTTTATATGTTAGTTTAAATAATTTATATGACTGGGGCTTAATTTCTTTTAAATCTAGTTTATTAAATACGATGATACAAAATCTTAGCTAGGACTGAAAAAGATATTTTCTAAGAATACAGGAATTCTGTATTTGATGGAAGGTATGATATAGCAAACTATGCAGACAGCAAATGGATGTAATTTAAAAGTTTCACATAATTTTAATGCACATTTACTCTTTTTTTAAGCCTATTTTGAACATTAATTTACATTCATTAGCCTCTGATTATGTGCTGTACCCTGCATTATTCACAATAAAACTTTTTTATATCAAAGATATAAAATTTTTGAAAAATCAGTTCCTTAAGAATATATTTATAAATTATGCTAAATGAAAAATCTGTCAAGAGTGTTAAATTATGCCAATCCAATAAAATTTATTATTTTATGATTTACTGAATATATATTTTTTTAAATATTTTGATGTGCAATTATATGATAACTTGTAGGATCTGTTGAGATAGTGGATGTTAGATCTTTATTGCCCGGTTTAAAATCTTGTCCTGGTCGGACTGAATGGAAAGTTGCTAATAAGGAAATGGAAGTATTTGATAAGTTTGAGGATGTACCAGAAAAGAACTTGACTCATATCCGTCCACATATGTTCCCTCCATCTGCAGAAGTAATAAAAGACTTGCATCTTGAACACTGGTAAGTTATATTACTACTGTTATTTTGGGATAGCCATTTTGAATCTGTTTGTTTGAATTGAGAATTTTCGGGGACTTAATTTTATTACAATTCTAGGTTGTAATCTCTTTAAAAAAAATTTGATGTCTTCTTAAAAGTATATTAAAACTTTTGTTGCTGTTTGGCAAACTGCTTGATATCAAATTAATGATAAAAGGTATTTAAAATTTAATGTTCATTTTATAGATATATTATTTCAAAACTGTTCCAACTTAGTCATCTTGCCACATGTATGGATAAGTTAGCTTACTAGTTCCCAGATGTATGTCTACATAGCTTTTGTGTGAATATTATCAGTAATATAATACACAAGTTGAAAAAGACAAACTTGATTTAGAACAAGTACTTATTATTTACAAATTAAGCTAGTATTTTATATATATTATTAAACATATCAAAAGAAAAGTCAGTTATTTGAATTAAAATTTTAAATAGGTATAAATAAACAGAAAATTTAAATAAGTATAATAAATTAAACTTCATCATTTGTAAAATATAAATTGTTAATTTTTTATTTCTAATGGCAAACTAAAATGACAAACTCTTGTAAAGTTAGCAAAGAACAGGAATAAAAAAACACAAAAAGAGAAAAAAGTCAACGTCCCATCAACAGATGTTAAGCGCCTTAGTATCGCTTCACCTGAGAGCCCCCACGCAGAGCCGTGCATCCCACGCAGAGCCATGTTCCTGTCCATGATTTCGTCTCTTCCACAAAGTGGGCAATTAGGACTTGTGAAAATCCCAATTCAGTGAAGGTGGTTCGCCAGGCAATCAAATTGTTGACTTTATCTGAAACAAAATCATTTCAAAATTTTATTGATACCTGTACTAGGTTGCTCAGCAATAATTCAAATTTTCCCTAATATGACTGTTTCGCTGAAAGATAAACCTCACTGTTTCACAAGAGTTCCTTTAAACATTTCCGCACATAAAACAGTCATAATTGCCTATTGAAAATGTTTCATTTAATTTTAGTCTTTCACAGAAAAACAAATCTTGAAAATATTCTGGCTACTACACTGAAACTTAAACTACTAAAGATGAGTAATAGTGTCTAAGAGTAATAGTAATCACTTTGATTGAATTATTAGAAGAATGCCTATATGTTACATTCTTTCCTACTAAACAGTCATAGAAAATTACTTTATAATTACTTATCTAGCAATATTTTAGTTTATTTTTATATTATTTGGTTTTTATTTTTTCACATTTAATGGAAAAAGCTGCCTCAAAGCCAGTTATACTAATAGATGCATTAAAAATTCAAGTTTTTTATTATAGATTTGTCAATTTTTTTTTCTTAGTTTTATGTTAATTGCAAACAAGGTGATGTAGTTTTAATTGTATGTATTGCAGATTTTAATATACAAAATGATAATTGCTTAAAACCTGTGTATAAAACTATTGTGTTTAAATTTTCTAGGTTGTATATGTTACTAGACAACCTTCCTAGCCAAGACTGATTTATTAAAATTTTATTTTTCATCTATTATGGTTTATTTTAGCATGTATTTTTTTTTCTTTTGCTATATTGTTAAATATGATGAAACATAAAGAAACATTGTAAAAAAAAGAGAATCATAACATTTGTACTACCTGGATTAAATCTGTGTCAATCTATATAGCATTCTTAATTTTTATTGGCTAACAATATCAACAATTATAAATCAGCATTTATATTAATATATCAACCATTTCTTGCAGCATTTATATATACTCAATATGATAGCAATAAAATATGTATTAGAATATAAGACATATATTATGTAGGTTTTATATTCTAATGTTACAAAAGTTCTGTGGCTAAATGTGGTGTATAATTTAATGATTGGTGTATTGTTATTATTTATTATTGATAGATTATTTATTTTTTTAGCATAAGAATCCTACCTCATCATCAGGACACTGGTGGTTTTTTTGTAGCTGTACTTGAAAAGAAGGACAAACTTCCATGGGAAAAGTCATCTGGTCAGTAGTTCATTTCAATTCCAAATTTCTTTGAACTTTTAAGTTTAAATTCTATTTTTTAAATTTATGTTTTTTATTTTAGAAAACGGTGTCTCCTGTGAAGAAAAGTATGTTTAAATTATTTATTTAATTTTTCTCTTTGTTGTAATACAATTAATGTGTAAAACATTATATTGATATTTATACGATGAAATGATAAATACTTGCATATTGCTAATGTACTAGCAAAACTCATTAAGTTCAACTTTTAATGCAACATTTTAAATTGTACTAAACTGTCAACAACAATACAGAATGTTATTTTTGTATTTGTCATTTAAAGTGTGGTCACAAAGAGTTCATGAGACACAAGAGTATAATTTTTAGATCAGAGATTATAGAGATTCCATTGTTTTTAATTATACTAAAATTTTGTATATTCACAAATCATTGAATTATTTAGCTTCCAGGCAAGCTTGTAGAATAATCAAAATGAGTGTTGTATAGAAATATTTGTAAAAGTTGAGTTTTGAAGTTATATTATCAAACATAGAATTTAACAGAATGCAAAATTTATTAAATCTCAATCAGTAGCATGGAAAGCAGGATCAAAGCAGTATTAATTTTATGCTAAGAACACAAAAACTTAGAACGTATTTTCCATTATTTATATTGTAAATTTACAATTTTTAACAGTTAAATATTTTGCTGAAGCAAAATATGTCATAAAGAATAAATTGATTTTGCAAAGATATTAATAATGAATTTCAGCGTTTATTAAAATTTAAATATTCTTTGTATTTTAAAAAAGTTTCTAAATGCTTGGTGATAAGTAACAAATATTTTATCATAAATGAATTTTTTTCATGCACTTACAAAGTTGGTTGAAATTGAGATTTAGATTTTTATTAACAGGAATCTGTTCATGCCAAATTTACTACCATTTAGCAGTACCTTCACAAATTCAAGTCTAGGGAAAACGGTAGTTTCACAAGATACTATTTTTAATTTTCACTAATTATGACTAAATTTTCTCAAAATAGGTACCTCTCAGAAAAACTAGACAGATCCCTGATTAATCTTTCTGATTTTTTGATTTTTGAAAATTTATTGACTTTTTTTTGTTGCTTTTTCGGCTAATTGTATTACTTTTTCAGAGTGTCTACACATCAAATAGTCAGCCCTGGTATATTTTCACTTATGTTTTTACTAATCAAAGTATTGATTTGTGTTATAGTTTCTCTGAAGAAAAGTTGAATTTAACTTAATTTTTTTGTATATAATTTTTTTCTTCTTCCAAATTTAGAAGTCCACCTCAAAAGAAAAGAAAAGTATGGGGGTATAAAGAAGATCCTTTTGTATTTTTAGATGAAAATGATGAAATTTTTCCCAAGATTAAGTATGTATTTTATATATTTAATTTTGAAATTATTGATATTGAGAATTGTTAAAAAAGAATATTTGCTTGATAATTTATCTGGAACATAATTATAAGATTATTTGTTTTAACATGTGCCTCATTTTATTTGCTAAATATTGCATTTTGTTACATTTTTAAAATTTATTTTTCTTCCCCCCCCTCTTTTTTACTTAATTATTTCTTATATAAAAGCTTTATAATTTTTTTTTCACAAGCCAAAAATAATTTAAAAGTTTAATCATCGTAAAAAGTTAAAATTATTTTAGTTTCGATTTCATAAAATTTTAATTATTTCTGTATGAACTAAAATCTAATTACAACATGAATGAAGCAACAACATGTATGCATTTTACAATTAATTTTGAATTACAATATGTATGCATTTAAGATTTAATTTTGAAATTATTGATATTAAGAAATCTTAAAAAAGATTTGCTTGATAAATTATCTTGAACATAATTATAAGATTATTTGTTTCAAATCTGAATGTTATCTGAATTTAGAATGTTAAAATTATCTATTTTATACAACAATGAATTGTTTGAACAATTGAATTATTGATTTTGTACAAGATGCTTTTATGTGGTTTCATAATAGATGGAATTTCTATTCTAATGTTCAATAAAAAAAATTCAGAGAAACTAAGTTATAAGTTGTGCAGAAATGAGAAGTTAAAATCCAACTGTTTATGTAGACAAACAATCTGTGCTGTGAATATTTTTTTCTTAGTTTTGCTTATTAGTTTATGTTGGTTGCTTAATAATTTATGGAATATGTACATAATTTTTTTTTTAGATTTTCAAGTTAGCCCATTTTTATGCTACTTGTGTTTTAATACCCATTGATGTAATCTAATTTTTTCTTTTAACCCTGGAATTCTATTTTTTTTTCTTAATTTGCTACTATATTTCTATTTTTTTTTTCTTTCTTAATCTGCTACTATATTTCTTTTCTTTTTTACATTCTCTCTCTCTCTCTCACTCTTTTTTTTTTTTTTTTTTNTTTTTTTTTTTTTTTTTTTTTTTTTTTTTTTTTTTTTTTTTTCTTTTGGTGGAATAAATGGCTTAAAACTTTTGTATTTTCTAACACCAAAAGCTAGAACTTAAATTTGTGTGTATCGAACAATTCTAGGAATTATTTGTTCAAATTGTTAGAATTGGAGGATATGTAAATCTAAGGTTTCACAGAATATGCATGATAAATATCGTTAGAGCTTAATTTGAAAGTCATTTGTATTAAGCTAGAATAAAATTTTAAAGTATCTAATACTGTATTATTCAGTAAACTGTAGGTAGTATTAGAGTGCAGCGAGTAGAAAACTACTCAAGTAATTAATTATCTTTACAACAGAAACATATGCTTAAGCCAATTTAATCTTCAACATTTTCTATACAATATTTATGTATTTAAAAATTTGTGTAAACTAGTATATATTTATTTTTTAAAATGAATTTTAGAGAATTTTACAATTTAAAAGACTTTCCATCATCACAGTTGCTTAGCCGATGCAAAGAAGGAAAGAAAAGGAATTTGTATTTAACATCAAAGATAGTTAAAAACATCATGGAAAACAACTTGGACACTTTTAAGGTTTTGTATCAATATTTTTATTTACACTGATAATTTATAATTGTATTTAAATTATTATTTTTTTTTTAAATTGTTTTTTAAAAAGTTATATGTATATATTTTTTTTTTACCAATAGATTATTAACACTGGATTACGCATTTTGAGCAGAAGTGAAAACAAAGACACTGTGTGCATTTATCGGTTTACTCAAGAAGTAAGAATCATATTAGTTTTGATATCAGTTTTCATAGGTTAATGAAAAAATTATTTTAAATGTTTCAGTAATACACTTTAACTTGGTAATGACAATATCCTAGTTTAATTCTAATTCTGCTTTTGGCTTTGTTTAGCAGTCTTTTTTAAAAGACATAAGAAATTGGACCAATTCAGTAATTTATGATAGAATTTTTTTTTAAATTAAAATAATTTTTAATCTTTTGTATTTCTTTCTTTGTTTTACTAGTTACTGATAAAAAAGTTTGTCTATTTTTCTTGAGATTGAGTGATTATTTTAGTCTGTATTTGCTATAAATGTTCAATAATTTAAGTCAAGAGATACAAGAAATTGTTTATTTTATTTTGAGTTGGTTTAAATAAGTCTATTCTCTGACCTTTAAAACTTAGTATGAACTTATAGTAGACATCGTCCTAAAAAATAATTTTTAAAAATTATTGAAAATTTAATTTGATAAAAAAAGCTCTGTGCTTTCTGTTATCTATTACTTTTGTGTTCAAAATTCAGAAATATTTATATTTGGTTAGCTATCTGTAGAATTGAGCTACCTAAAGTTAATTAACTACATTAAACAAATTTTATCTGAAGAAATTGTGAGCAGAAAAGCTTAGATATAAACTTATTTTAGTGAAAAACTATAATCAGATCAGTAACATTAACTAGGTGCCACTGTGTTTTCAATTAAGTTTTATTGGTCCAAAATAACATTTATTTGCTTAAGACTTCAAACACTACTTGTATAAGTTGTTTATTCAATAAATTAAACAAATCTCTTAGAGTCCATAACTCTTTTTTAAACTTTTTACAAAGCATTGAGTTTTAACATTATATTTCAGGGTATATCAACAGTTTTGCCTTTTATGGGAGAAGAAAGAAAAGTGACCATTGAAAAAGAGGATTTGATAACATGTCTCACTAATGAATATCCTGCCCATTCTTTGTTTACAGAAAGCATGCAGGCCAAGCTACCAAGCATAGGTATAAAATGAATAATTTAGTTTTTTGTGTGTATGTATTAAATAATGTGAAGGAAATAAAGAATATATTTATTGATCCAACAATTTTCTTCTAGTGTCTGGCTGTGTTGTTCTTTGTTACACTGGGAATGTTGGGTAATTATTTTAAAAGTTTCTCTGCTTTCTTTCTTCATTTTAAATGCTTTTTGTTGTATGTATTAGTTAAAGAAACTTCAAGGGCTTTTCATATCTTGATATTTAATAATTCATGTATTGTCTTTAAGAAATGTAAGTGCACAATTTAAAAGGTAGAGCATATAAAATTTGCATTGATACATTTCATTAAGGCCATTTTTATGAAAAACAAATTTATCTTGGAAGTTTGTCAATAGATTTAAAGCCTCATTGTAATTAAAATCAGCAATTTTGAAAAAATTCATAAAATGTAATTTTAAAGGATTTTTTTTAAAGATTTTTCTTTTGAAAAGGAATATAAAATAAAAGTAATGATGAAAGTTCTTTTTTTTAATTTTAATTATTAGTAATATTTCTGAAAGAAATAAACAAGAACACTTCTTTTAAAAGCTCAACAAAGTATATAAAGTTAATTATGCCATTTGTTAAATTTTAAGTTCTTTGTATTTTATATGTTCTATTTTATCATATTGCTACACAATAATAACCTTAGTTTTTACTAACATTTATTTTGTCTATACAAAGACTCATTATCTATGACCTTTTCTTATTCAGGCTGCAATTTTTAATTCTGAAAATAAAACTAAAGAGTAATTTTATATAGCAAAATCAGTCTAATAGTTCATGAGAAATCAAATTTTAAGTATCTGACTTTTTTGAAATTCAATTTCTCAAGAACAATTTGACTGATTTTGCCCAAATTTTTTATTTTGCTATATAAAATTACATCCTTTAAAATGAAGCAAAAAATTTTATGCCTTACAATTTAAAAATTCTTAAATAAAATTAAAAAAAAATATTTACTAAAAGTTATTTTTTCATGGGATTATCTTTAGATAAATGAATTTTATAATTGTGTGTAAAAATGTTTCAATTCGCTTAAAAAGTTCTCAAGATATAATGAAAAGTAAAATTAACATTAAGGGGTCCAAACTTTAGAGTGCTCTCCTGACTAAACTATTTTGACCATATTTCTCAGATTGTGGCTACCCCCTATACTTTAGGGTCTATTTGGTTTGGAGTGATCCCTTTTTTGCTCATTGTACACATGACAGTTTTCAGTTCCACTGATAGAAAAAAATATTTGTATACTGTTTATAGGGGTCATGCTAAAGAGTGAGGTATTTTTTTTTGTTTTTGTAATTATTGATTTAAAAGATATTTGGCAGTTTGCTCATAATTCTGAAATTTTAAACATTACAATTTACATCTATTGCTTTTTTGAACCTAATTTTAATCCTTTAGAAAAGATGATGAATTCAAAGTTGAGCTATGTGGTTGGAAAGGAAATCAGACTCTCCGGTGTTATGTTCCTAAAGTAGGCCGAGCACACTATCTAAGAATATGTGGAGTTGATGTATCTGAATATGGTAAGTTTGACATTGCCTGAGCCAGACTTGTACAACTTATGATTCAGGGGTTTGCCCCACAAAGTCTTTTGACAAGGAAAAATTTTTTTTAACCATGTTTTGCAGAAGCAAGTTACTAGACTAGTTTAGCCTTTCTCAAGTGTATTTCAGGTTTTAACCAATACCATTCACCTCATTTATTTGGTGCTGTATTAGTAACAAATTTTGTTTCCTAAAAAAAATACTCAACTTAAACGTTAATAAATAAATTTTTTTTTCGTATTCATATTCACACTTGTTATACTTTGCTTTGTGATTTTTTTTGTTGCAGTTTTTCTATGTCTACAGATATTAGACAAAATAAATAAAAATATTATTAAATGCTAAAATCTGGAATTTATGTAAGAATTTTTCGAAAAAAAAAAAATATATTAAAATAAAAAGATTTCAAGGGGAAAAAAATAAAATATATTGACAATATTAAACAATTGAAAACTTTTTTTGTAAAAAGACTTTAGTAGACACATGAAATACAATTCTAGCTTTTGTAATGGTTTAAGTTTATAGCATCTGATGTATTTTCCAAAATCTTTATTTTTATAGCAACTGAGAAAAAATTACATTTTAATCATCTAATAATTTTATGGTTACTTTTACTATATACTTGATGAGCAAAATCTATTGGTTAGTTTGTTTTCTATGATGTTTATAATTAAACTTTTACTTTGGCAAACAAAAACATTATGTTTTCATTTCAGCTTTCATCAGTAGTAATTCATTTTTTCTTTAAAATATAGATTTCTCTCTCTCTCTTCAATATTGATTCCAAATGTGTAAACCTTTTCTTACTTCATTTTTGGGAAGGATTCTAAATATCTATATGAAGGACACACATTATGGCTATAGTACACCCTGTATAATTTTAAGAACTTCAGTTAAAATTGTTTTTTAGATAATTAATACTGTAAAGTTTCTTGGCTAAATTTAAGATTCAAATCAAACAAAACAATAAAATACATTAAAAAGTAATCAGCACAATTAAAACATATTTTTGGGGATTGTTGCATTGAATAAAACTAATGTATTATAACTCATGAACTTTCGTTAACCTTACCTAAAACATCAAGTTTCATCGGGCAACCTTAACCCGTTTTCATGTTTTGCAAACCTGCCTTTCTCAGTTGTGACTCAACAGATTTCGTTTAATTTTTGCTAAATATTTATTTTCCATCCTTAATATGCATTTTTTTTAAAAAAGGGGATGATAGAAAACACTATGTGATAAAATTATGCAGATAAATTAAAAAAAATAAATAAAAAAATAGCGTATTGATTGTTTTTAATCCACAACAATTGCTAGATCTTATTGCCCATGTGTATTGTTGCCACTGAATCTGTATTTTTCTTTTTCAGAAATGAGAGAGAAAAAGAAATTTAAAATTAAGGATGAGAGTGGAGAAAATGTAGATGAAGAAATGCTTGAAGAATCTGAAAACAATGAAATAATATCTGATGAACTATTAGATTGTGATTCAGACACTAAAAATGTAATCAAAAGAGCTGATAATGCTGTTATAAGTTGACAATTGTATGTATAGATGTTGATTTTATACATTTATAAATAAAAAATATGTAAATATATTTTTGTGTTCCTCTTACGTAACATAGCTAAACTATATGGGGTCAAATAGTTTAAAGTAGAGTTATGTTTTTAAATTCAAAAAAAGATGTTAACCCTAAGGTATGTTATTTTTAGAAAGAAAAAAAAATCCTAGTCTGGTTTTGTAGCTTGATATGAGTGATCACAAAAAAATTATTACCATATTTATTATAAAGCACAATAATTGCAACTTAGCATATAAAAATAAGATGACAAATTTTTAAGGGAATTATTTATCTGCTTTTTATTTCTCAGAAAAATGTACAATATCTGGAATACTATGTTTCTTTTCACTTATTCTTTTTATAGTTTATTTATTTAAATGAAAAATCTGACAAAAACAACAAACATCATACAAAAATTTATTTAATATTTTCTGTACAAGTAAATAAATATAACAAAACTTTTTCCATTCATGAAGAATTTATACATAAACTTGTTTTGATTTTAAAGTTCCATAGTAATGCTGCCAGCTTTTCCTTTCTTTCCTAATTGTGGAAATGATGATTTACCTAAAGAAAAGAAGAAGCATTTCTAAAATAATTTTGTCCAACATTTTAAATTTGTTCCATTTAATCATATTTTGTAAACTGTATAAAAATTTTTTTTAAACTAAAATTTGTAAATAAACACAGTTGCAAAATATGTAATTTAAAAATTTATATCTATTGATTTACTTTAAAAAGTATTCATTTATGTCTTTCAATTACACTCTATTCATTGAAGATTCTTATAAAAGAAGAATGAAAAATGATAAAACCTTAATAATGTTTTTATACCCAATAAAATTAATTTGAAATTAATGAAAAAATTATATTAAGCAGGTTTAGGATTGACTTTTACTGAAAAATAACTACATGAGTTGCTACAAAAATTGTGTGATTTTTTTTTAAGAATAGCCTATAAAAAAAGTATTTCTAGACATAAAATAGTAAAGCATTCTCACAATAGCCTGTTGTGGGTCAAGGAGGTTATAGCTCCACAATTTTATGATCAAGAGCTTTATTGTGGCAATGTACTGCACACAGGCAGTCTTTATTTCTGAGACAGACTGGTCCTCATTAATGTGAGGCTGGGTGGACTCTAACCAGCCACTGGGTATTGAAACTTAATTCGTAAAATAGTGTTCAATCAAATATATCATTGCAAGAAGCAATACAATATCTAAAAGTGGTATAAACAATCTTATTTATGACATTTTAACTATTTGAATTTTGTGGATAATTTCATTTAATTTGAAATTCGCTGAAACTTTGGGACTTGACCCTCAAGGGAGCAATAACTACAAAAATAAATTGAAGGCACATGATACAAAAAATTTAAAGTGAAAAAAAATATTAATTGAATTTCTAATAAATATTTTAAAATTAAAAGTATAACTAATCTATTTTCGAATGAATTTAATCATATGTTCGCCAAGTCTCTTTTCTTTCATTTTTTTTATTCTTAAGATTTTTCGTTTTCATTGAGGACTACTGCATTACAAGATTTCTGAGAAAAAGAAAACTGCTTAAAAATTATGCTAGAATAAGGGTATTTTTACACTTTTTCTTTCACCACAAAATATTGTTTTTTTAAGAGGTGTCTATTTATCAAATTGTTAATCCTGACTAAATCCAAGATTGGCAATTTGTTTCAATTATTATTTGTCACTGTTTTTAACATTATATTATATTCTTGACTAAATAGGTTTGGTCTTTCAAATAATTCCATGCTAATGTAATAGATCATATTTTTGCAAAAATATTTTAAAGGTAATACCTATTAACAAATATTATAAAAAATTAAATATATAAAACAAGATGTTTTTTTTTTCTCAATATATTAATGTATTCAAATAGAGATAAATAAAAAAAAAATTACTAGTTTGGTGGGAGATATTTCAATGAAATTGAGGGCTAATCTTGTGATTGCAAGCCAGTAGTAATAATGAAAGGTATATTTTATTAATTCTTAAATAATCTGAAAGTATCAATTAGGGAAAGTGGACTTGAAACTTTAAGGTTCCAAAGGTAAAAAATTTAAAAATCTCCATATCAAATAAAATGCTAGTATATTGTCAAAATGCAAATTAAAATCGAAAATCAAGCTTGCAACAACAAAAAATTATTAAAATATCAACTGTTCTTAAGAAATGTTGTCATCTGTTGCTAGGCAACTAAGAATTCTTTGATTTTTTTATCTCTCTCCCATTTTCTCTCTACTTATTTAATTTTTTCAGAATATATACTTGTATGAACATAAAATTTCCTTTAACATGTCATTAGTTTCCTTGTGAGTGTGTATAAAGGTATTTATTCGATTTGTACTTACTTGGAGGTGGATTCATTCTTGAAGCTATATATACAAATGGCTCAATTAATGTTCTTCGGTCTAAAGTAGATACTTCATAGAGTTTTACTAAAATATAAAATTGATTTTAGAAAAACACATTAAAAGGAAGATAGGTACTCTATAAAAAATATTTCACCATCATTCCATATTCTTTAGATAAATTAATGTTACTTTATGTTACTGTTTGTGTTATTGTACATAGAAAATTTCCTCTCAGTGAGGAAGTTTTGCTACATGCAGGATATAAACTTAAGAAGTAATAAATCGTTTAAATCTGTTGAATATTTTCTTAATCTCCTTGGGGAAGAATACAATGACGAAAAATAGGATCTCATAGAAATCAAACTTTCATTGTATGAAATTGAAAATTTCGCTGATGAAGTACTAAAATGTGAAAGAGTGAATGTAACATGATAAAAGATATAACCGATAATACAGGAAATAAGAAATAAAATCTTATCTGAATTCACCAAAAAATTACTGATAGTGCCTCATGTGAGAGTTTTTTTTTTTTTTACACAGTGTGGAAGAATAAAACTGACTTTAGAAATAATATTAATTTGAACACACATTAGAGTATCATAGTAGAAAATAAATAAAAATTAACTGCTAAGAACATTGTTTGCCATTAAAGGCAGTTTACTGAAAATGAAATGGCAAAAGCAAAAAAGGCAACAGCCTTATCATTTGTTTTGAGCTGTAATTGTTTTGAGCTGTTTTATTTTAAGGAAATTAGTTATTTTATTATCATTTAATAAAAAATTATTTTATTTTTAAGGTGTGTTATTTTCTGTTTTCTTGTATGAAATAAAAATTTTATGTTAAGTTTTACTATCTGAAAAATAATGAGGGAAAATTTGCCCAGAACATAATGGTCTTGTTTTTAAAGAAGTATTTTTGCTTTTTTTTTAACCAAGTTAATTATTTTATTATCTTTCAATGAATAATTAGTTAATATTTTAACTTCGTACTTTTTTTGTTGTATAAATTAATAGTTTTACGTTCAGTATTCACTATTTGTGAACTGTATAACCCAACTAGTATTAATTACGATTTGTTGCGCTATTTCTATTATTTCCTTGTGATTCTATTATACCTGACAAGCAGTTTGAAAAGTTTTCATGTCTCTAAAAAACAGGATGCATACTTTAAATTTTGCTTCCACTTTAAAATTTTTTTCCAGATCTTCGGAAGTGCTGTAATTATCATTAAAATATTGATACTTAAAATTGATATTTTTGTAAAATAACAGATTTTACTATCGAACTATCATAGAGAATTTAATCTCTTTTTCCAGAGGTAACACTTTAATAAAGTTCTTGTAGAGATATTTTTATAATATGCAGAGTTTAAATATAATAAATACCTTTCTCTTTTTGTGCCCAAGCCTGTGCTAAACCAGTATCAACTTGTCTCTCATTTTGGAGATCCATTTTATTACCAAGCACAATAATTGGGACCTGTAAGATTGAAATGTTTTGCCATTTTTATTTTATTTTCCAAAAATGCTATACATAATTATTATTAAATATAAACCAATTATTGTTTTTACAGATATCTGATTAAAATATAATAAACATTATTTTCAAATGAAAAATACACAAATACAGTCAAACCTCTTGTAATCAAATACAACTAAACAAAGGAAAACTTTTTTTTAAAAAAAAAAAGCCTTGTAACCTAATGCCTTACCATGGGTTTACGTTAGAGTGAGCCTCCAAACATCAAATTTTTGTTGAATTGAAAAAAAAAATTGCTATCATCATAAGAATTTAATTTAAAACTTTTTTCTAATCTCAAAATGCTGCAACAAATTTACACTTATTTTAATACAAATCAAATATTGTAAATATTAAGCAAGAAAAAAAAAATGTTGCATAATGTAACAGAGGTATCAGAAAATAATTAAAATATTTCATGGTACATTATTTATGTAATATTTATTTGCAGTATTTTATAATTTAAAATACAAAAATATACTTCTTATTTTTAAGGACTATGATGAAGAAGCTGAGAATAAGTCTTGAAATGCCTATAAACTCACTATTTATTGCACTATAATTATCAGATGATGTATATTTATGACAACAGCTTAAAATCGAGCTTTATGGATGTTGAGACACAAATTATAATAGGATACTCAATAATTGAAAATATTTCAAATTATGTTAAGAATTAAGTTCAAGCATACTGTGTTCAAAATCTTTTTACATAGCTAAAACATATTGATTTTTGTGAGATGAGAAACTTACATTTGGAAATTGAAACTCATAATTAAAATATATTCCAAACATTTGAAACTCAACACCAGTGGCATCCCACAACATCCTATATGGTACGACATACACACTTTTGGAACTCTTACATTATATAATTTTGAAAAAAATAATTTTTTAATCTAAAGGTACTTATTAAATCCTCTTGTACAAATAAATTGTTTAGATAGATAAAATAAAGCTAGCTTCTGAATATTATAATATCTAACTCTCTGTGCATTAATTCATAAATTTTTCTGAATTTCAGGCAAATGACTGCATCAGAAAACCATGTACTGTCTCACAGAATAACATAGGGTTTTCCTATGAGGTAGTAGAGAAATTTCGCTTTGATTTTGTTCAGGAGCTTAATGCTTGGAGGGTTAAACAAACAAAATGTAATATGAAGAGTTTAATCAAAGATTTAATAAAAATTTAATATGATAAACAAGTTTTAGAAAAGATGGCAGGTCATCTTACTTCCTTTTTTTCTTTTATTTTGTCGTAGTCTTTTTTTACTTGATCTAATAATGAGAATGATTCCCTACTGTTGATAGCATAAACTAAAACAACACCCTGCAATGAAACAGCATTATTTTAATCACAATATATAAAAATATGTAATTGATACAAGCAGTCAATAAAAAAAGACTTTAAATATGTCTTTCAATAAATCAAAATTTACAATAGTTTATATTTAGATCTTAAAAGATATCTACACATTGTTTAAGAATGTTTCTTATATAAAAACTGTGTATAAGTGGACCAGTTTAAAAATATAAATTATACAAAATTGAATATACTATACTTCAAAGCACAGTTGACAAATTTTTACTTATAAATATTTGTAAATATCACAAAATTTACCTCAGCATAAGTCATATAGTTTCTCAGAAAGTCTGTAGATTGACCAGGTACCTTATAAATAAAAGTAAAAAAATATATGCTCAATTGTGGAATGTTAAGATTTACAAAGAAAAAAAAGATATTAAAAAAAGTACATACATAAAAATGTAATATACTATTTTGAAAATTTAATAAAAATTACCAAAGAAAACTAAAAATTTAGTTTAATACAAGTAAACTACCTACTTTTTAATTTTAGTGCAATAAAACACTGCTAAAAGAAACAAAAATTTATATCCTATAACAGTTATTATGGAGGTGCAACAAGTTTTTGTATATCAGAGTAGAAACTAGCTGTTGCACTTAATTTCTTAATGCTATTATTTAAATAACTTGAATTCATAAAATTTCCATTTTTGAAATATTAACATAGATTACTAATTATAATGCAATGAATAGTATGTATTTATAATCAATGATAAAATTTTAAGATGTTTAATAGTTAAACATTTAAAAAACATACTGTTAGTAGCATTATTTGAAGACTGTCAAAAATAAAGTTGCATAATTTCATCAATAGATTGATTATTCCAATAATTATTGAACAATACTATTCTACACAAAGATGGAATTAAAAACTTTTTTGAAGATCATTATAATAAAAAAGGCTTAGATTAACAAATTGAAATTGTTTTATAATAAAATATAAATTTAATGAGGATATTTCCGTATTGAGATCTGTCACACCATTTGCTATCGCCAAGGTGCCAAATTTTTGTTTAAAAAAAAAAAAAGTTGATGTTTACACAAGGATGGCTATGAGTTATACCTTTCGAGTTAGTCCATTTATGTGATGTTCTCTTGTTAGTTTCTCTTGGACCGCTGCCCAGAAATTGCTAAGACTTGGAGATTATTCTGTCACAGATCACGATATGGAAATCTCCCCAATTTAATCTGCAACCTTTAAAAATAAAATCAAACACTTACTGTGCCAGCAGTGTCATAAAATCTGAGTCTTTCTTTCACTCCTCTATCAGTATTTACCAGTGCACAGTATGTATCTTCAATCGTTGGGTACTGCATTTAAAATAAAATTATTTTGTAACTACTAGTGCAAATGAAAATACAAACAAAATACCACTGAAATTTCAAAGTAATAATTATCAATAAGTTAGCTAAAGCATGATATTAACAGCATATAATGATAAAGTGATATTAAACTAGAACTAATAACAATAATTATTAAGATAGGAAAGAGTGCAGAGTTCGGTGCTCATTGGATTAATATCATGAAAGAAAATTACAATTCTGTTTGATAAATTAACATCAATATCAAATGTTTAAATGTGGTTTAGTTTATTTAAAAATAGGGGACACTCAATTGTAAATTTTTACTTTAAATTACTTAATAAATCACGAATGATTAAATTGCTTATGAACAAGGCAGAAATTTTTTAATTCTATCAAAAAAGAAAAAAGTAGAAAATTTATTTTTAACGGAAATTATATCTCAATGAAATTATGTAAGAGGGAAATAAACAGAAACATTTGTATAAATAACACTTACAGCATTACAAGGGAAATTTCCATAAATCAGTTGTTCAAGTATTGACGTTTTACCACTACTACGGTAACCACAAATTAAAACCTTGCTAACTTTCCCTGGAACAGACGATCTTAACATATTGATTATAACTAATTATAAAATTAAACTATTTAAATATCTCCCTCGCTATTTAAATACTTTGAAACTGCGAAAACAAAATTCGAAATGTTTACATTTTTTTTGACCAGACGAAAACAAGAAAAAGAAAAAAAAAACTTAACAAGCACAAAGTTACAGTTAATAATAAATAAGAATAATGGAAATCTACTAGTTTAGGTTAAAGCGCACAATATTGAATCTTTTCTGCCCTTCGCTTCCTCTCCTCTTTCCTTGCCGCTGCTGAGTGTTGAATTAACTTTTTCGGTGCGAGGAATTCGTCTGGTTCTGGTATTAGAAACCGGTATCAACTGTATCAATTTATTTTTTCTGGATATGGCTTCACGAAATTACTTTAATCTTTTGACATCCCGTCAAATCTCTAAATTTCTTCGTTCTAATAATTTAAGAAAATTCACTACTAACCTAAGAGAACCATCTCAGCCAGTAGGAAATAAAACTCCAAAATGGATGTCTGCTGAAGAGGCTGTCAAAATTGTTAAATCTGGTAAAACAGAATTCTTTTTTTTCAATATTATATTCTTAGTGTCTAAATTGTATAACTAAATTAATAACTCGTTGGTAAACTCGAAAGAATTTGAAGAAAAAATTTTACTATTTTTTATATTTAAAAAAATTGTTTTATTGGTTTAAAAGTATAAAATGATTTGGTCAAAAAGCTTGAAACTGACACAATTATCCTTATTATTATTTATATTAGCATTTGAATGTATTTACCAGTAAAAGCTGTAAGTGTTGTTGAAATTTTGTAGAATTTCTCCAGGGTTTAAAACTCTTACCAAGAGTATTGAATTTTGACTACCTTTGAAGTGTGTTAATCTTTATAAATTCAGTGAAGAAAATGGAGATATTTTCGTGCGGGGATCTGTCTTGTGAATTACAATCGCCAAGGCACCAAATAGATTTTAAAATTGCAAATTAAAAAATAAAAGTAACATGTAAGTTGCCCCCTTCTCTTTTCTATGATTTTTTTTTCAAGACTTCTTTTTTCAAGACTTGCAAATAATTGCCAAGACTTGGCAATTATTTGCAGCACATCACGAGTACCGAAATGTTTCCAAGAAAGCTGTTAAGTAAGGAAAAATATTCATAGTAATTTACTCTTCCTAAATAATCTTCTAATTGGCTGAATTATCCAACTTAATAGATTAGTGATTCAATGGGAAATTTGTAAAATATTGGGGAAGATTTCCATATGTGATCCACGTCAAAATAATTACAAACTTTTGGTAACTGCCAGTGTGAAACGTGAGAAATAAAATTTGCAGAAAAGACCAATTTGTAAGGTATAACTTGTAGCTATTCCGAGTATAAACCTCTTCATATTTTTTTTCTTTTTAAATTTATAAGTTTAAAATCTGTTTGGTACCTTAGCAAATCTGTTGGCATGCCAGATCATGTTACGTTCCTACAAAACTTAAATTTATTGAGTGAATAGTAAAACTAAAAGTTCTTTAATATGCAAAAGTGTCTTAATATTTAAATATTTTTTTATTTCTCTTATAGAATTGGTAGGTGTTAACATGGTTGTTCAAAAGTATTTAACCAGGAGACTATTTTTGTGAAAAAATTTATTGAACCGTAGCCGTCAAAAATGTCAGAATCTGTGATCTACATATATTGTAATAGAAAAAGGGCTAGTTATTTATCTTTTTGCAATTCATAAAAACTAAATCTATTATTGAAGCTGTATTGCATATCTGCACAATATTTGCACATGCCTTTTATTTTTTAAATATAAACATTTATTCTGAACAAATTTTTTTTTTTTTTTTGATTAAAGTGAAGAGGAGGCAAAGAATGTTCACGAAATCTTTTTACTTTTTAAAAATATTTTTTTAAAAGTTTTAATTATAATATTGAGTGCTAGTTGTGATTCTTTAGACATCTGGGTACCCAAGATTCAGTTAGATCACTGTTTAGTTCAGTAGAACCTCGATTAACAGAGATTTCTGTTAACTGAGCTGTATATTTCTCTTTTTTTCCCGAATGAGCTCTGAAAAAGATTACACTTTTTAATTCACTGTCTGTTTTTACTGCCTGTGAAAGCATTCAACTTCCACCCTGAAAAGTCAACAGCAGCGAACAATATTGTTTCCAGTGGCTGTGTATTCATAATAAACAGCAGGTGCAGGTGCAATTTCATCCCCTTCTTGACTGCCAAGAGTAGGGCTACAATTCCTTTAGATTTGTTATATCTTTGAAAATGCATCTCTTAACTTAGTACAGTTAAAAGAAAATTTCTATTGCTTTTTAAAATTTACTACTAGTAGTTGATTTCGTTTTTTAAACTTGTTGAGTTGTGAAACTTAACTTTATGCGTTTATTTTTATCATTTAAAAAATGTTCCGTTTTTTAATTTCAAAAGATGTTAAATTTGTGAGAGGTCAGTTTTTACATACAGTTTCTATCAGAGTTTGTTATTTAAATCAGCTTGATTTAAATCAAATGATTTTTTAAAAAAAATCATTGATTTAAATCAACTTATTTTTTTTTATATATATATTGATTTAAAAAGTTAAAAAACAGTGTTTTAAATTATTGATAGGTACTCTTATTATTTTTTTTCTTAGTTTTAAAATTTATTATTGCTGCATTAATTAATTTTAGTTAATGAAATTACTTTCTCTCTTGGTATGTGTTTTCTTTCTCATATGTTTACAGTATCTGACATCAGATTTTCTGTAAAGAAATTTTGTGAAAAACAATTTCAATCAGTACATAGATTTTTTAAACTAATTTTTTTTTGGAATCGATTTTGATATAGGATTAAAAATGAATATTTTAATATATAAATATATAGATTAAATATTGATTTATTTTTTGATGAATGACTACATTTATAAACACAATCTGTTACATTTNTAAAACTCCAAAATGGATGTCTGCTGAAGAGGCTGTCAAAATTGTTAAATCTGGTAAAACAGAATTCTTTTTTTCAATATTATATTCTTAGTGTCTAAATTGTATCACTAAATTAATAACTCGTTGGTAAACTCGAAAGAATTTGAAGAAAATTTTTTAATATTTTTTATATTTAAAAAAATTGTTTTATTGGTTTAAAAGTATAAAATGATTTGGTCAAAAAGCTTGAAACTGTCACAATTATTATTATTTATATTAACATTAGAATGTATTTACCAGTAAAAGCTGTAAGTGTTGTTGAAATTTTGTAGAATTTCTCCAGTGTTTGAAACTCTTACCAAGAGTATTGAATTTTGACTACCTTTGAAGTGTGTTAAACTTTATCAATTCAGTGAAGAAAATGGAGATATTTTCGTGCCGTGATCTGTCTTGTGAATTACAATCGCCAAGGCACCAAATAGATTTTAAACTTGTAAATTTTTTAATAAAAAATATGTAGGAGTTGCCCCCCTCCTCTTCTCTATAATGTTTTTATTTTTAGTTTCTTGCAGGCCACTGCCCGGAAATGGCCTAGACTTGGCAATTATTTGTAGCAGATCACGAGTACTGAAATGTTTCCAAGAAAACTGTTAATTAAGGAAAAATATTAATAGTAGTTTACTCTTTCTAAATCATAATCTTCTAATTGGCTGAATTATCCAACTTAATAGATTAGTGATTCAATGGGCAATTTGTAAAATATTGGGGAAAATTTCCGTATGTGTTCTATGTCAAACTTTGGCAACTGTCAGTGTGAAACTTTAAAAAAAAAATTGCAAAAAAGTTAAATTTGTAAGGTATAACTTGTATCCACCCCGAGTATAAACCCCTTCTTGTTTTTATCTTATTAAATTTGTAAGTTTAAAATCTGTTTGGTGCCTTAGCAAATCTGTTGGCCCAACAGATCACGTTACGTTCCCACAAAACTTAAAATTTATTAAGTGAATAGTAAGACTAAAAGTTCTATCTATGCGAAAGTGTCATAATATTAAAATATTTTTTTATTTCTCTTATAGAAGTGATAGGTGTTAACGTGGTTGTTCAAAAGTATTTAACCAGGAGACTATTTTTGTGAAAAAATTTATTGACCATATAGCCATCAAAAATTTCAGAATCTGTGATCTACAAAAATTCAAAATTTTTTGATGTCAACATATATTGAAATAGAAAAAGGGCTAGTTATTTATCTTTTTGCAATTCATAAAAACTAAATCAATTATTGAAGCTGTATTGCATATCTGCACAATATTTGCACAGCCTTTTATTTTTTAAATATAAACATTTATGCTGAACAACTTTTTTTTGTTGTTGATTAAAGTGAAGAGGAGGCAAAGAATGCTCAAGAAATCTTTTTACTTTTCAAAAATATTTTTTTAAAAGTTTTTATAATAATATTGAGTGCTAGTTATGATTCTTTAGACATCTAGGTATCCTAGATGATCAGTAGATCCTCGAATAGCAGACATTTCTCTTAACTGAGCTGATGACGATGTATGTTTTGTTCTTTTTTTTTCTGAATAAGCTCTGAAAAAGACTACACTTTTTAATTCACTGTCTATTTTTACTGCCTGCGAAAACACTCAACTTCCACCCTGAAAAGTCAACAGCTGCGAACAATACTGTGTCCAGTGGCTGTGTGTTAATAATAAATAGCAGGTGCAATGTGTTATAGGACAATTACATCCCCTCCTTCTTGATTGGTGAAAGTAGGGCTACAATTTCTTGAGATTTGTTATATTTTTGAAAATGCATCTCTTAACTTAGTATAGTTAAAAAAAAAATTTCGATTGTTTTTTAAAATTTACTAATAGTAGTTGATTTCATTTTTTAAACTTGTTGAGCTGTGACACTTAATTTTATTTGTTTATTTATATCATTTAAAAAGTGTTCTGTTTTTTAATTTCAAAAGTTGTTAAATTTGTGAGAGGCTCCGTTTTTATACACAGTTTCTATTAACTGAGGTTTCTGATATTCGAGTTACTAGCGGTCCCAATTAGCTCGGATAATCGAGGTCCTACTGTATTTGAGAAAAAGGTAGATTTTCAATTAAAATAGCCAGAAAAATTACACATAGAAAAATGTTAATTTCCAAACAATTACAATTTTATAATGTACTACTTTTACTTTTTGAAAATATAAAACATCATGGAAATGATTTTTATTAGTATTGTATTAAATTATTTTTCAGTTGAAGTAAATTATTAATTTTTGGATAACTGAAATTAAACAAAATTAATTTTTATGAAGATGCCAATAAACAACGATTAAATTGAACTGTATTGGTCACTGAACACTGTCTCTAAATCTCACTAAAATCAAATTTCTCTGTTGAAATTATAAATTAAAAATATAAAATGCAGTATTTCTTTTACAGTGCGATCTTAATCCTTAGCTAATACAAGTATGAAAGAGCTATGAGTTTATCTTGAGGATTGTAAGCAGATTATATATAAACACATATTCAAAAAGAATAGGCAGCTTTACTGAGATTTATTTATAAATATGTTATTTAACTAGGGAAATTTTATTTAATCACTATATTTTTTCATGATTGTGAAAAAAAAGGAATTAATTAGACTATCT